CTCCCAACAGCCGACTAGCGAATTGAACAAATTTCCAGTTTGTGGTGGTTTTGGGAGTTCGTTTTTTGAATTTAGCGGCTTTTTCTCCTTTCGGCGAGAAATGAAGTCTTGCACAGAGGCGACGGTCTGTCCATGTAGAATTTTGGGACAACAACGACGTCGGTAAGGCAAAACCTTCGATTTGCTAAAATGACATCTATTTCGTTATGATGATCTCCAGCGGAAGAGTTTCACGACCAGCCTTGACAATGGGACTCCTGGAATTGTCCGTTAGCATAGATGGTCTTGGTCGTCATGATCAATTAGGACCGCCACTTCTTGGTGTTAAAATCTCCAATGATGACCTTGAAGAATGTATGGTCTTCTCTCTAGAACTTCCCGAAGTCCTTGTAGCGCGTTTCGTTTTTATTTTCATCGTAGCGTGATGTCGATGCGTATAGGATGAAGGTTATCAAAGCCGATAAATGAATTAATAGATGAATAGCGACATCTACTCAATCGTAAACATCCGATTCGGATTGATAGTTGTTCAAATGAATCGTTGATCATGACTAAATTTGTGTTAACAAGAATGCCGAAGTCGCCAATTCCTCTTTTGTCGCATGTTTCGAGGAACAGTTCTTCTCCGGTGTCATAGACGGCGTTGAATTGGTGGCGTCGTCTCGTCTCGGCCAGGCCGATGACGTCATCCCTTAGCCTTTTTCTCTGCATGATCAAGCCTTCTGTCGAGGATTCAGAAGTGAGTGTTCCCTGTGGGTGGAGATCACCTCAGTCTTTCGTGGTTAGGCCTACTATGGCTCCGAGATTTTTCTTGTGCTTAACGTTTGATACCCAAGTATAGCTTGCCGAGTTCTCAACATGACGACTGGGTATACTCATGGGTAGCTTGCCAGTCTACTCTCAGGGTAGAAGGGAGAACTTATTTGTTTCGAACGACTCTTAATAGCCTCTTATACACTTCCCTTTCACTCCATTCCAGATTTTTGGACTTTTGGACAAATTGACTCGTAGAATACAATCCGCATAAACGAGAGCGCACCCACGTATGCATTCATAAATGCGTCTTTGCAGACACAGAAGGTATGTGCCAAACTACTGGTTTGGATACTAAGATGGCTCGTCTTCACTGGTTGTGTTGGCCTTAAGGTAGGTTCCACTTTTTCGGAGTTTTGCTGGCTTAGCAATAGTGGTTCACCGGATATCCTGAGCTCAGTCTAGCCAAAGTCTGCCCTAGGTCGTCACTACCACAGGCAGCCGTGATATCCACTTGACATATTCAGTGGAAGACTCACAGAAAGCGGTGACTGTGCGAAGAAAGTATTCTGTGTTTCATGTGATTGAAATGCTGATTTAGCATTTTGTTTGTTTGGTTATGGAGGTGTTTGGCTGGGTAGATTGCGGTCAATTTGACGTTCCCAGGAAAACGAAATCCGCCAAAATGTCAGCTTTCTGTAATAAAGAGTAGCATAACACCCCGTGTTTGTTCAACAAGAATGTAAAGACCTATATATATGTATACATATATTCGTATATATGTGTATATGCACATGTATTTGTATATATGTATGTGTGTATGTATATGTATATGTATTTGTATATGTATGTATATGTAAGGCGCGTGTGGGGCAGTGGTTGGAGGCGCCACTGCGACACACACGTGGAATCGATCCCCGAGCCCATGGCTCACCAAGCCTTCTATCCCTCCGGTGTAAGCAAATTGGTACCAGACTTGCCTGGGAGGATAGCAGCACTTGCTTGATACATCGATAGGCCACTGCGAGTTGTTTTAAGGGACTGATATGCATTCAATCACCTCCAACGATACTTAATGAAGTCGAATGCATGGCGCATCCCTTAGGGAGTGATCAACGCCAAAAGCTTTATCCTTTTTATGTATATGTATATGTATCTGTATCTTTATGTGTATGTGTATGTATATGTACTATATATATATGTATATGTAAATGTATATGTGTATGTGTATATATATATATTTATATATGTATATACTAATCTTAAACCTCACCGTCATCTTTCATAAGACTTTCGATCACTTCACACGAGATCATATCAGTCCGTGCAAGGTCTTCTGGTTTCTGAGAGGTGCACACCCAGCGGAATGGCCCGAAACCCATAGAGAAAATGTCGCTGAAAATAGAGGAACTAGAGAACTAAAATAGAGGATTAATGCACAATGATGTGATGTTCGCAGGTTCAGTAGCAGTGTTTAAATAACCAATTGAGACTTCTGCGTTAGACCAAAGTTCCTGTTGCAACCCAATCCACTCGCAGAATTACACAAGCCTCGTAAAAATTCATTTCATGGAGTTCACGGAGTACGCATTCTTTTCACACATGCGGCAATGCTTCTAGGATCATCTTAAATCACAACAGTGATCGAGAAACGGAGAAAACCAGAAGTGTGCTAGGGTCTCACAATTTGTTAAGAAGAACCATTCGACTACTACAGAAAATACATCGTTTAGGATTCGGAATATTTCTTAAATATTCAGACACAAACGTGATTACGGGTTTTAAGCGCATTGTTTCTTAGTATCCATGAAGATTCGCCCATATTACAGTTTTGCTGAAAAATCAACTTTTTCATTTGAAGACATAAGACCTTTCTGAGACTAAATCGTCTAAGCAGGGTTCTTCTAGGTGTTCAGTGCTGAGTAGCTCTAACAGAGATAAATAGAGTTGATTTCGTAAGTGTCGATTCGGGCAGGGTTCAGAACAAGCACTTCTCTACTCGGAATGCAAAAGTACGCCTCCTGACCAGTATAAGATTTGCTTCTCGAAATTTTGTTAAATCTGGAGATATTTAGCGTGCAAAATTGAATTTCCAATCTTTTTGCTAAAGAGGACTTCAATGGTCTACATTTTCTTCCGTTCTTAAATATTCTTTAGATTTTTTTATCCCTAGGGAAAGAAGGAAGTGATGTAGTATGGTCGTGTGGATCGGTTTCTTACCCCATGATATCTTGCATGTAGGACGGATATCTGAACGTTTTATCGTCCTTGGCCTTTGGATGGAGTATATTGGCTCCGGCTCGTTGACACTCGAGCAGAAATGCATTGCCGTAATCCCAGAAATGCATTCCACGAGCACACAGCTTGTCAATAGCCGCAATTTGACGAAGAAGACTGAAACATGTGGCGATGATAATAAAAGAGTTTTGAGGCCTTGCGAAAAGTCAGAAAGATTACTTGCCTATTCTGGACCAATTTTTTGAAACGGTCTGGCTCTGTAGTCATTATCGTGTTTGCTTCCTCTACAGTCAGATCTACCGGATAGTAACCACCCAAAAACGGATTGTGCAGTGATGTTTGGTCGGAGCCAAGATCTACCAAAAGTTCCGATTCTGCCGCCAAGCGCTCCCTATACAAGAGTGTTCATGGCTTCATAGAAACGGTTGAAAGTGTTCAATTTTTAGATAAAATGGAGAAAATTTTCACGCTATTCACCTCAGACAACTGAGTCCTTATGTAAGGTCTTTAGTTATATCATTTCTTTTAACTTTGAAACCCAGCAAATTATTAGATTAAATTAAGTGATGTATGGTAAGAAGACCTGAAAATCATTCCACAGTTTATACACCGCGTCTGGTTTGCAGCTATCGGTAGCGACTTGTAGCGACATATGAACATAAGATCTTGGAGGGTTCGACATGCAAGTGGATGGGTGATGTCAAAGATGAAGACAAATTTCTGTTTTAAGTCGTACTGGAGTCGGATGTAAATGCTATTCAAACGAATTTCAGTAATATTAACATGTCTAGTGTTATGTGCAAATTGCAAGACATGGTGTTGTCGTACTTAACAATTTTGACTTGTAAATAAACGTAGGCTAAGTTGAAGCAAATCTTAAAGCTGCAACGTTGAAAACCATATGGAAAAACTAGGCTCTCATTAAAACCGACCACAACTTCACCACATTTCCGAGATAACCTATGCTGATTGTCTTTTTCTGCTTTCTGAACACTCTGATCAGCTCGACGATTTTGTTAAGGTCGTCTGAATACTCATCGAGCCAACCCTGCCTGTATCGCTTCATAAGGGCGTCAGAGCACACCTAGAAGAAAATTTGTGTTCTTAGGAATTTTTTCGTTAGATTTGATATTCTAATGGAAGCGAAAAGCACCTCGGCGATTACAGAAACGCAGCCAGCGATACTGGCAGCTTTCGGTTGAGCTCCGCTCATTCCACCTAGTCCAGCCGTCACGAACACTTTACCGGCTAGGTCTTCGAGACCGAGGTAGCGTCGGCCAGCGTTCATTATTGTGATCTGTATTTTAAATGGTACTAAATCACATTAATTCAGCATGCTTTCCATTAGTTAAATGTTTGAACATCGGACGAAAACATTTGAGGTTTAAAAATAAGCTCTTCTCTGACAGAAGCATTGAAATTCTTGTAATTCTTGGTGCTACATCTAGTCGTGGTTTATATCCATAGTTTCCAGGGTTTTCCTCTCACTTTTGTTGCAATGAACCAAATTTTTCAAACGGTCTTCTTTCTAATAGCAGTACTTCGGGCGATAGGAAGCAACAGTACTGCGGCGAATGAGAGCATGACTCCGCCAATATCAAATTCTGAGTGTTGGCTTCTTTAAAAATATCACATTGAGGAAATATTACTTTCTTAGTAGTTCAAAGGATTAGAACAAAAAATCCTCGCCGTTGTGCCGTGAACAATTCCTTGAGGGCCAATATAGCAATAGCTGCCGGCTGTCATTTGACCATATTGTGTGACACCGATGGCGAAAAATTTGTCGTATAGTGACTTTGAGGAAAAATTTGGAACCATCTGAAACATTTAAAGTGTAGCAAATTAGTCACCTATTTAGATACTTTTTACACTCAGCAAGCACCACTGGACTTTGTGAGCCAAATTCCGTCCTTGCAAAGTTTAGAAGAATAAGTATAAGCGATCATATCCACGAGAAATTGTTACTCGTATACCATTCCGTTAGTTAGAGTTACTCTTGGCGCTTCTGCATGACTAGGGAATAGTCCCAAAGGATGTCCAGAGTAGATGACAAGAGTTTGTTGCGATGACATTCGAAACAAGTAGAGAAGCACCAGACGTAACTGCAATCGATTCGCCTAAGAATTGAGTTTTCCACATTGCTAGTTAGTGTTTGGTGAACTCGCAAATTTTCTCCTTTTATCTGAGAACAAGCGTAGGGTATCTTCACCTGTATCCAGTTACTGAAAACCTGGCCATTTCCGCCGTAGGTGACAAGTTCTTGTGGGTACTGAGCCACTTCAGGATCAAGATTGTTTAGAATCATCAGGATGATCGCAGCTGCTTGTTGCGACTTGGCAGAGATTTCCGACAGTGGAGGAGCCTAAAGGAAACACCACTTGGTGGATCTACACGATATTTTTTCTATGAAAGCTGCCTTATACCTTTAAATGGAAGTTTGGCATGAATCGGAAAGCATAAATGTGTCCGTACAGCTCCAGCTCCTCAGCAAATTCTTTCGACAGAATTCCATGATGTTCTTTGGGAACATAGCGCAACGCATTGCGCACAGCAAGCTAGAATAATATATCTATGGATGAAATAGCTCAATCCCTTTCATAATAACTTATAAGGTAAACAAGACGAAGTTACTGAATTGAGTTGCAAAGTAAAGTTGGAGAAACTAAGAAGAATAGATATGCCCAAATAGTGTTTTGAGGGGAACCTGTAAGGAACACAATTCCAGCTTGAATCCTCTCATGGATGCTTATCAACTGTGTCGTAAAATTGTTCCAATTGAGGAAAGTTGGCTTTGTTCTTACATAAAATCTCTACCAAAAACCCAGATACTATTAGCGAGAAGGGAAATGTGAGATCCGAGCCCAAAATGTAACTGCTTGCTTTGCGAGAGGATGGCAATCGAACCGAAGACAAACACCACATTATCTTTGCCTAGATGACACTGATATTTTAAGGTAAAGTCACCACTTCCTTTTTGTCGAGAAATCTAAATATCCTAATAGTCATCTCTTTAGAAAAAACGATAATCTAACCTAATCGAATATATTAGGAAATCTGAATGTGACACAATGGCTTTTCCTCTTGTCCCATGATGGGAGTCATGGATCAGCTTCATCCTGTCACTAATGGACAAGAGAACACAACCTGGGAACGCTCTCTATTACTGCTTTCGAAAAACTGAGAAGGGAAAAATTTTGCCCAACCAAGAAACTGCCACTCAAATGTAAATTGTTTTAGAACGCGCATGATTTTTCCTGATAAGCTGCTTTATATTAATATTTCGAGAATCTTTACCTCTCCGATTCAACCACATCGAGGTCATGACGAATATTATATTCGAAACTCACAACTTTTTCGTCGCGATTAAGCGGACAAGGTCTCTTCGGAGCATGAGGCACTTTCACGGCTCTCTGCTCGGCTGGATATCGAGGTAATGGATTGAAGATGTCGATAAAAAGATCAGAAATTCTCATGTTAAGGTGCTGCCTTTGTAGAACTGGCGAAGAGATCTCAGAGATGAGAATATTACTACATGACGACGAACGACTGTTTATGTAAGGTACTTTTTATTGCTGTGGCGACCTGTTTTGGCGATCGCTCGCCTTGATAGTCCCGGTCACAACCATAAGAGTGATAACATTAAACTGCACTCAAACGCGTGGCCAGAAAAGTTATTCAGTTCTGTAAAAAGTATGGTTGATCATTTTGCAAACGTTTGCTACCATAGACTAATGTGCCCAAAAAGGAATAAGTATTTGCAACAAGGACAATTGGCCGTTATAATGACGAATATTGCGATGGGTAATCTTCACTAGGAACTGTAACTGGCGAAAGACATTTTCCGAATAAATAGTATGTTTACAGTTTCCACTACTTTTCTGCTCGAAGTACCGAGAAAAGCGTGCCAAGTCGCCTTTAGATCCTCAACTAAAGCGTTCTCTTATCCTCGAGAAACAGTGGGAAGTTCCCACCATGGGATTAGGTATTTCCCAGAAAGGTGACGACTCCTGTCATTGATTGACTCTTAGGTCGAGCTTCGATACGGTACCATGGAATCCGCTTTAAACTTAGATGGCATGCTTGAGAATGAGGTCGTCCGCTACATGTCGCATTTTAGCACCAAGGAATCCTCCAGCTACGACGACTAAATCAGCGGGGTAAAAAATCGATACCCTTTAGCACATCAGAAATATTATAGAAAAGATGTGATAAGAACTTTTCAATACTACAAGCCCTACAGAGTGGAACGCTGCAATGGGATTCTTTCGTACTATCGAACTTTGTTAACTGTGTTCCACCTTCATCTCTGGTTTGTTAGAAATTGGTCAGAGATGATAAGACTGGCATCAATGCCTAACTTTGCGCTAAATTCCATGGATGATAATCGCCTACGAATTGTTCTCTCGAGAAAAAAAAACGCACTGTGAAGGATGTTTTGTCGCCTATAAATGCAGTAATCTTCAGAATCAAATATAACACTTCTCACGCATCAAATCTGTTTTGACAACTATTCGTGGTCTCAGTACTCAAGCAACTTGAGGGAACTGCTGAAGCACTGGTTATGGATAAATTGTCTTAGCTTCCCGAGTTTTCCTAGAATCAAATACAATTTCATGAAACAACAAGTAATAACTCAAGCGTAAGGTCAGGAAAAATCCAAATTCTATGCTTAAAATTTAAATAGGATTAAGTCTTGGCCAAAAACCTAAGAATAAAATGAAAATAAAGGTGGAAGCTTAATCCGTTATGGAAAACACCAACATAAACAGCTATCCAAGCTTCCCTAACTGTGCGGAGGATTCTTTTAGTGCATAAGCGCAAACGATCGACCGACTACAATTCCAGATGGTTCCAAAAACTCCGCCCAGCTAGATGCTGCTTTCGTTGAATTCGCCCGGCTCCTAGTAGGCCACCTTATGAGTATCTACTGCGCTAGTGATTAAGGAAAAAAATCTATTGCTTTATTTGCGTAGACTTTCCATCAACAGTTTACTGCTTTACTGTGGATGTGCGGTGCTTCTCAGTGTCAGAATGCGATGTGCAGAAGGAGGTTCATTTCACCTGCCAAGTCTCCAAGCTGAGAAGCAGTCCGACGTTTCCATTAGGAAGCCGAGCCAACGGTAAGCCAATGCCAGAAGTCACCTCCGTCCTGCTATCAACTATTCGCAAGGTGGTAAATCACCCTGTGAATCACATGTGCCAGCAAAAGCTAATGGTAACGACCAAGGAAAGGTTGGCTCTTCAGTGAACCACAAATGGCTCAAGAAAAATGAACCATTCTCACGGATAGGTAGCGCTTCCAATTACGACGCACTAGAGAATCTGACCACTCAGCTAGTTGCGCCTCATTCAAAGTCTTCGATATAGACAAATGGAATAATCGTCGTAAACAGCTAGTAGGGCACACTTATCATACAATAGTTACGAAGACTCCTTCGGTCACCTTTCTTTAGCAGATGACCATGCACAACGCTCTCCACTGGCCTGGGGTTTTTTTAATCTCGAAGGTAAGATTTTATACGAGTTGCAAAAAAATACATGTGGTTTATGGGTTCCAGCCCGAAATTGGTTGGGTGAAATATTACTGCATCCTGGAACGCGGCAGCTCTCCATGCTTCCTATCGTAAATCGATCCCCACAGAAAGGATCATGGGCGGTTTTCCTGCAGCCTGGATTTTGGAGTCCAAGGCGGGAATTGTGGAATGGGAGAGGTTGGTGTAAGGCCTTTCTATCATTACTTTTATACCATGGCAGAATATGGTAGTACTCCTATGTTCATCAAAGCTGGTAGCTGGGCATTATATTTACGCAGATCCCGTTGACGTTCCTTCAGACTGGTTAGTTCTTGATCTGTTCCCAACAATTTTTGCAGCTTGTACCGATGTGAGACTTCTTGCAAAGTTCTTCCATACCTTGCATTTGCTATTTGCCGTATTAGGTATGCTGCAGTAGGATCAAACCTTGTTTCCTTTGCTTAGTGAACAACTCCTTAGAAGTAGCTGAGAGACAGGCGAAACGAAGAACCCGCATGGTGTGGTGGTGAACGCGTTACTCCCCGGTAAGGACAATAGTGCGTTCGTTCCCCACCGCAGACACCTACGGTCCGGAGTTTTGCAAATGTCTCAGCAATCTTGTGGTTATATTTCGCTTGATACCCAGCCATAAAAATAATAGAAGGCAGAAAATAAAAAGTAAACAACTCCTTAGTGTCGAAGAAGATGTGTTCCAAGCTTCTTATTTAAGAGGAGAACACAAGTTTAAAGTGCTTTAGCAAGCAGGTTGTAGTTTTTGGTTGGATTTTCTTTTGTTAGGGAGCGTGTAGCGCAGTGGTCGGAGCGTTTTGCAATACACATATGATCAATACACTGGCCAAAGGATCACCAAGCCCTCTATCACACCGGAGTAGGCAAATTGCTACCATACTTGTTTGCGTGAAATAGCAGCACTGGCTCGATACATCGCTAAGCCACCATGGCGTATGCGTCAGGGATCGATCAACGCCTAGAGCTTTTTTTAATCTCCTTTTGCCAGCCAGTACGATGAGAGAATTTAATTGAGTATATTCTCATTATAAACGATCAGTCATCTCCTTCTGAGGGATGTTAAGGGTTCTTTTCCATTCTATGGTCAAATCGAAATTTTGTAAGAAGAGGACAATCCTCAGGTCCAGCACATAATGATGGCACCATCTTCTGTTCGTCGAGCATGAGTTATGTTGTTAGAAAATTATTATACCCATCGGCGATTTCCTCACTTCTTCAAAATTAAGCCCCATGTAAGACATGCGATGTGGACAGGAGTACTGCAAGACAGTTTCTATTCCCATTTCGGCTTACTATATCAACTTTTGCTATCCTGTTTTCATTTTCCTTGGCAATTCCTAATTTGGCACTGAAAGCTCTAACGAGAATTTATAGACTTCTTGTTGCGGATTACTTCTTCCGACTGATTATAGAAAGCTTCTATTTCGCTCTCATCATCTGTACAGGTTGCTGAATAGCAGTTGACGATAGTAGTCTTCTTTTGCCGAGGAGGATGGAGACAAAAAATGGCCAAACGACATGGTAGGTGTGATCACGTGTGTGGTGACCTCATGGGAACAAATAATTGTGTACGATAAGACCAAAGTTACCGATATTTCTTCGGAGCTTTCTTTCGACGAAGGACAACGGTCCCGTCAACTAATCGGCGCATATCGTCTACCTGCTTCTTCTTTTGTAGTGCAATCACATGGGATTTTATGCGGTCAGCGGCCTCATGAAGAGCCTAAAGATCGGGACTGTTCTGGTGTTATAGTTGCTGGGTAAGAAACTGCCTCCATCACGTGTCGCAGGCTATCTTTTATCGCGTTCCAATGGAATTCTGTGCAGTCGAGGTCTAATGGCCTCTCAATGTTTGTCCCACCACACGAAATCACACTCAAGTCTGCTATCGGCAGAGGTAATCAGGCAATTAACCTAACTTTTGTAAACTACGAAAAAACGTTTGACAGCGTCGGAAACGACGCGATCTTCTTGGCGCCCGACTCTGGTTGAATAGACTCGCCTTGTGTAAATACCCACATGTGATTACCGCCGTAACTGTGCAGTACAAAACTACTGCTTTTCCATTGACCGCTCACGACTTCCATGGAAACTGAGTTCGACAAAGCGACAATACCTCTATAATGTTCTTTACAGCCGCATCTCAGTGAAGGTGCCAAGTAACGAACAGATCCGAAACTCCGCGCTGATTTACTCGATTCCACGGTCCTTCAAGGGTTATGTCATCCAGCAAAGACTTAGATTTATCCTTCAACCCAAGACCGACTTTCTGTTAACTTCGGCATTAATTGATAATTCATTGATAGCTGAGCTATTGTATTCTAATAAATTCTATATCAACAACCTCGTGTCTGCTTATTGAAGAAAAACATTGAATTATCCTTCAACCTCCCAGAAAATATGCACCACATCAACTTTTCGAATCAACTCACATACTACTACTTCTTACACAACGGAAATATCTCCGATGTCATCGGCCTTCAATTGTTTTCCACAGTGCACGTCGTGGATAACCTGCATGTGTAGTGTTTTTTCTTCTTCCTAAGGAATCAGCCGTGCACCATTTTCGACATGGAATTGACTTACTTGGATCAACAATTGAGCGGTGGTTGTCCAATCTTTCAAATTCATCACGAGCCATGATACATCTGGATATGCCCCTAACAAAATACACCGTAATCCCTTACATGTAGACGCTTTTGATGAATAACCAGACTGTCTTTTTCCCATATTTCAGCATTTTATGTGGAAAGCATTGTTGGAGCGAGACTCAGCTAATGAAGAGAGCGATGGACTCATCAACACACACCTTAATGCCAGGTCTGTGGACTCGTTGGATGTTTTTACTTACAAGTTCTACAAGTGCTCTGGTTTTGTAGAACTCGTTTTATCTATTGGAGCATATAGAGACTTTTCTACATGTAGAGAATATTCTCTATCTCGCACAACAATAACACTTTCTTTACACACGCTCTGTATCAGCTGTGATTTTTCATTTCATTTGTGTTATACAATAGACCGTGCAACATTTTTCACTTCTCTTCATCCTGCAAACTTATCTACTATTAAATTACTTAATGGAACGAAATTTTAATTGCCCAACTTTGGGTTTCACGCTGCGGTAGCCACATGGATCTACGAGATAGCACGCAAGAAAAGACACAAATTCTCTAGTGGACAATGCTGAACTTCGGCGTCATAGTACAATGTTAACCTCTTTATTTACTGCTTACTACAATTTTCATGGCAGGGTATTATGTGGAAGCCACCACAATAATGCTGAGATATTTGCAAAACTACGGACCGTAGCGGTTTGTGATGGAGATCGAACACGCTTTTGCCCTTTTTGGGGGCTAACGCTTTCGCCACCACACAATGCGGTCCTTCGTTTCACCTTTCTCTCAGCTATTTTTCTACATACCAGTATCATACTACAGTTGCAACACCTCAGTGCACTACTCAAAGGCGCTTATCCTACGCGGGGAAACGAACCTGACTGGCATAAATTTTTTGCAAATTATCAAGCACATAGAATAGGGTTTTAATGTACGACCCCTAGGCCAACGGTCCTTGTTATCTAAGCTATGGATTGAACTCAAAAATTGAAGCAAAAGCCCTTGGGACGAAAAATAGACGAAAACAAACTATTACCAACCATTCGATGTTTTTCATCAATAAGCAGACACGAGGTTGTTATTATAGGATTTATTAGAATACAATAGCTGACGTTTCGGCGGTTTCGCCTTTTTCAGAGCTTGGAAAGGTCAAATTGAGAAGCGATCTACTCAGCCAAACACTTTCATAACCCCAGCAGATAAAACTTAACGAATAAATTTGTATTTGCATAAGAAACAGCTTCATTCAAACACCTACCGTTTATTTGTTGTATGTATTTAAGTCAGTTGATGGATAGCAGCCGCACAGAGTAATACATGGGCGATAACTGTGCCTGTGTCAGGTCATTGGATATAATTTTAAAATTTTTCAAATGGTTACGAAACTGTAACTTCTTAGCATAGGCATGGAGGAAAACCCACGCCCCAGAGCGATAATTCTAGCGAAAACAAGACTCCGTTCCTCTTGCCATTTATTTCAAACGAAATAAGCTCAGCTAAAAAACGCTTAATAAGGGCCGGTTTAGAGAATTTCGTAAGAGTGATAGAAATACCACCGGGCATTCTAAGACGCCAGCTAGTTCGCAACCGCCTATACGACCGTCTATGTCAACAAAAAATTCCATAATTTGCCCAAATGGTAGAGACGGTGATTGCATGACTTCGGGTACAGTCTATCTGATCTCTTGTAAAGCGTGCGGGCACGAATATGTTGGCGAAACGGGTAGACCGCTCTGCGTCCGCATAAAAGAACACCTAGTCGGTAAATCTAAATTAAAACCAAACACTCCACTAGGCGCGCATGGGATGCAGGAACACAGCGGAGAAGATTTTGAAGAAGATCGGCTCTGAGGAAGACGAAGACGTCGAAACGTTAGCCGAAAATGAATAATATCATTATCAATCTCGTGTAAGCTCATCAAAGAAAGAATACATATAAAACCAAACAGTCCACTAGACGCACATAGGATGCAGGAACACAACGGAGAAGATTTTGAAGTGGGAGTCACTATCCTCACCCACGAATTGAAAACAGCAGAGCGTAAAACTCTTGAAGCGTTTTGGATCAATTCCAAAAAATCGAAAATGAACCGCAACGAGGAGTGTCTTGTCATCACGCGTGACCTGGCGCCATACCTCAGGCTGATTCAATGACCTGACACAGGCACAGTTATCGCCCATGTATTACTCTGTGCGGCTGCTATCCATCGACTGACCTAAATACTTACAACAAATAAACGGTAGGTGTTCAAATGAAACTGTTTCTTATGCAAATACAAATTTATTCGTTAAGTTTTATCTGCAGGAGTTATGAAGGTGTTTGGCTGTTAGATCGCATCTCAATTTGACCTCTCCAGGCTCCGAAGAAGGCGAAAGCGCCGAAACGTTAGCTATTGTATCCTAATAAATTCTGTAATACCAACCTCGTGTCTGCTTATTGAAGAAAAACATCGAATTACCAATCAGTGCTGAGGTTAACAGAACGTCGGTCTTGGGAATTATTACCAACCATGTTCAGTGACGTCGATGAAACTGTCTGAAAATGATCCACGAAATCGTATAGGTGACTAGGTTGTTAATTCTCGTTTCAGTCGCATAGCATAGGGAGATTCCTTTAGTGAGAAAGGAGAGCGCAGAGTTCTACTTTCATCGTAGGCTGTGCAATTAATAAACCACCTATCTCCACTTGATTCCCATTGCATCTTTATCAAGTGGGTTCGTTCTGACTTATCCTCACCCGTATCGTTTTTCCTGTTTCAACCAGAAGGATCTCTGCTTCACTGATAGCCGCAGTCTTCAAACCACCAACCCCGTAACATATAACATATTCTGTAGACACGTGCAGATCCAACAATTTCACAGCCAGACTTCTATAATTCTTCCCAATCTACTCATTAACGTATCCATTTATACAATTACAGTTGTCCATGCACAACTTTACTGACAGCAGCGAAGCGATAGGAAAAACGACAGAACGGTCGTCTACTATAAAATTAGTAACTTAATCTAACATAATAATAAGACCATGGAAAAGAATTTAAGAGGAAACAAACACAACTGAGAAGCGAGACAGCAGCTTCAGTTCAACGAAGACAATCTACGCTGCAAAGAGAATGTACGGGCCATAGTGATATATAAAAAAACCCGGCGAATGAGTGCGGGTTACCTACTGATGTATAGTTGACTACAATGTTCTTAGTTTTTTTAATAGAATCATCATAATTCCACAGTTCACAACAGCTCTATTCGTTATCAACAAGGCTTAGATGGGTGATTTTCGAAAAGTCGAATTCCTGCGTTGTTCCACGTTGGAAAATGTCCAGTACATCCTAAAAATACGAAAGTCTCACGATGTATGAAGCGCTGAATTATTGACTCTGATCAGTTTTCACAACTCGTACACCTGGTTTGAAACTATTTCTAAACCTTTCAAAATACCATTGAATTAAACCGACTTGCACCGATATAATTTTGTGCAAATGCAGAGAATTCAGATTAAAGAAAACGATATAACCAAGACATAATTTTTTTCTGAAAGAATATCAAAAATAACAAATAGTAAGAACACAAAAACACAAATCTGCAACTAAGAAACTAACCTGGCAAGTTGTTTCAAAGTGAGTTGTGGCATCGTACGATCTTGATATGAAGATTTGTGATTCATGGCCCAAGTCGGTGGGTTCATACATATCCGACACCGAGATGAATCTGAATGGTTTACGCTTGGCAGGAAACCGGAAAACGTTTTAGAATAGTTCACCACCTACTTTTCGGTTATAGTGCCTAGTAGTTGAAGACCCGGCAAAATCTCAGCCTCGGGGTTGTTTGTCTCGACTGTAGTTGACACCATTGCAACAAACCATCCTTCGGGTGTAACCATATTCGTGTTCGAACAGCAAGAGATATAGATATCTAAAAATTTCAAGAAAACTCGCGCCAATACATACACATATATATGCACACGTATAAGTGCATGTATATATGTATACAAGTATACAAGGTAGTAGTAAGTAACTTACCGAAATGTCTTCCAACTTGTTTCTGTGGAATAATTATTTGACATGACTTAGCATCGTTGGTACCAGGAATGGGATGATTTAAGATACAAATAGCACGAACAACTTGACCTACTTTTTTAACCCTATCCATAGCATATGATGGATCGCAGTAAACCTATAACAACGATTACAAACAATGGCATGTAGTGTTCACAAAAAGAAAACAGAATTCTCGTAATGCTTTGCGAACGAAATTGCTTATTTAAGAGTATTCAAGAAAGGAATTGGTAGCTTGTCGCTCAGTAATATTCAACTGGAAGGAAAACCGAACTTAGTCGATAATTTCAACTTATTATTTACTGCCTACTCTTTTTTAATGGCAGGGTATATTGCGAAATATAACTTCAATGATGCTGAGATATTTGCAAAACTCCGGACCGCAGGTGTATGCGGTGGGGAACGAACGCGCCATTGTCCTTTCTGGGCAGTAACGTCTTCACCACCACACCATGTGGGTCCTTCCTTTCGCCTGTCTCTCAGCTAGTTCTATCGATTTTTGCCACAGTAATCACCTGTCAGTGGGATTGATCTGGGAGGCCAAAATCGGCAACGAACCCAGTTAAGCTGAGGTGTTACTCCGCGGAAAAGACAATAACGCGTTCGTTCCCCACTGCATACACCTGCGGTCCGGAGTTTTGCAAATACCTCAGTATCACTGAAGTTAGTCGATTATGTATCAAAAGTTTTAATACACACCCGTAACATAACGATTAGATGCTAACCTGCTTTCCTCTGACTGATTCCTCCCCACATTTCACGCCAACAACCTTCCCGTTCTCTATGATCAGATTGTCCACTGGTTTATCCAACATATAGGTGCCACCATAGATCGCAGACAAACGAGCAAAACCCTGACAAATAAAAACTTCTGGCTGCCAACGAAGCAATGGGAAGCATGAGATGGAAAGAAAAAGAAGAAAGCACGAAATACAATAACATGAAGTATAAGATGACAAGCTAACACTTTTCTTCCTCTCCCACTTTTTTCTTGACAGAATAATAACAAAGAAATCAATTGAGACGCACCAAAGATTGACGAAATAAAAAGACAGAAATATGAAAACATAATGTAGCACTAGGGGGCGGATAGCACAGTGGTAGTTAAGTCCGTCACCACGAGCATGGTACCAACTCGATTCCGCTGCGGGCCAACCAAGCCTCTCATCCCACCGAGGTCGGGAAATTAGCACCGGGATTGTTTGAGAAAAAAATCACTTTGTGCAATCCAATTGGGAACGCTCCATCCCGGGTATCTCAGTACTCCACGGAGAGCTGCTCGACCGCCAATTTACTACACTCAAGATGAAATGAAAAACTCTCAACCAGCAGCCGAAGCCACACGTAAAAGTTGGATGATCTTCGTGGACATGCGAGGAAACGAATCGAAGTGAGAAGTGCTGGGATCCGCAAAGTAGACGTGAAGACGGATCACATAGAATAAAAAAAATGTAGCAGCATTTTCGATCACTCTGCTGTTAAACCTACTCGCTTTTTAAACAGAAAGGTTCCTCACCACCGACTTTTGGATTAATTTTTTAGTATTCTGAAAAATACCTGAGGTAGTTCTCCGAGACCATACAATGGATACAGGTACGGAGACCGCCCATAACGTGCCAACGAATCGGAATAGAGACGAATCCTCTCAACTGTTAGGCCAAATGGTTGCTGCTTATAACTACAAGCATGGAAATTCATTTAAGTGTTCTGGGAAGTAAATAAACCCCTCTACTCACTCATCATCGCGGTAAAGGGCTAAAGCATGACCAGTGAAGTCAGCAGTGTTGTCATCAAGTCCGAACTTTTCGTACACCTAAAAACGCCCAATCCTAAAACAGAACACATTCTATGAAACGGAAACCAACCTGTTGCATTGTGTGAACATCAGGATCAAGTCCTTGCCATGTATCCTTGACATCCCGGCTAAAGGACTGAACCCAAATAAGAAACTTCTTGAAGCGGCGTTTCTCGAACATCCCCATGAGGCTAGTTGACAACGCTTCTAATTCATCAGCAGGTACTTTGTATACCTAAATCACAAAGTGTTTAAAAATACATCAAAAATCTAGATGATTTCAATCCTAAAATCAACTTCAAAAACACTCAAGAGTAAGCTCAAAAGTATTAAGCCTACCTTTCCGGCCTTGTAAACATACGATCCTTCAACAGACTTAAATTCAAGATATCGAGTAACACCAGTATGTATAAGTAGTTTGACTAAGGAACCATTGGCCATAAGAAACTTTGGAATCAAATCTACATTCCAATCGCGACCACGACCCATCTCTGGAGGTGGTTTCGCATTTGGCCCTGTAACTTACGAATGTTCACGTAACACCAACAGACAATAATTGGTCATACATGGGACATACATCGAGACCATTCTAACAACCAACCCATGAACTTCTCGTAAAGTTGTCCAAGGGGAGACAGTGACGCTGATTCTCCTCCGTAGTAATTGTTCCTGTCAATGTGAAGAACCTTCTTGCCAGAAACAGATAACATTCCAGAAATAATACACTCCTAAAGTATAAGCGTCATGACTATATGGTAGCGATCCATAATGTCTGATCTACCTTCAGCCCCGTCCCAAGAACTATCGCATCGTATTCCTCGTCCATCGTCGACAGCAGAAGAGCAGGTCCTTTTAATAGAAGACGCATTCAGACAGCAGAATCAGCACCACAATCAATACATAGAGTTATTATAACCGGCTAAACGGCTTTTTATGCTGAGCTAAACAATGTTCCAATTCAAAAATTTATCGAGCATGTTGCATAATATCATTTCTTGACAGCTAAACAAGCATAGTTGACAGATGTTGTCGGTATCCATGACCAGACATTCGTTACTGGATTGCACATTAAGCCACTGATTGCTCTGTAAAGGACAGCTATATGAAAACGGGTACCATCACCTGGAGTAAACACTCACCTAACAGTACAGCCACTTCCCTCGAGTATCGCTGACAATCGAACTGGCTCAACAAATTTCTCCCATTGATGAACACCACGCGGCACCAATGCCATCATATCCTTGACCAATGGACTTTTGTTAGGTGGTTCCAATTACTAGGGGTAACATAAGCTGTTTTAATTACCTCAGCTAACCAGACCGCAAGAACCCGACTAGCGAGCGTCTTGTTAATCGTCGTGAAAAACAACGAGGCACCAGGTTTCGCTAAGCGAACACATTCGCTAACGAACGAATTCAGATCCACGACATGTTCGACTATTTCGGACGCTACAACGGCATCGTACTCTGAAATGATCTCAATAGCGTACAACAACTGGAAGGATCAATATTGCAGAATATGGGTAGCTGTGTGAAGACTAATGCCTAGCTACTCAAATATCGCAGACATTTTCGTTTGGATCGATGGAGTACTGCAACATATTCAAACGCATAGTACGGAAGAGAAAGTTCGTACTGGTAAGCTCGAGGGAGGCATCGAAACTGTGACAGTTGTGAACAGTGGAAATGAAAAGGCAACAATGGACTGAAAACGCTAAGACGGGGAACACTGAGGATGACGTAGAAATCGGGCTAGCTACACTTCGACAAACGCGACACGCGCGATCAATACGGCGCGCTAAACAGCACTCGGTGTTCCTAAAAAGGAGGTGCATAGAGCCCGTGGTGAGACGTGGAATTCTCCCAGGCTGACCGCCATGATCGCACTCCCTCCCACCACCGCCACCCCAACGACTACCCGCAGGTAATCCTGGAAAAGCAGGAAGAATACGAACACGTGGCCCATAACCACGCAATACAACCGATATTGAATTGGGAACATAGAGTGACGCCTCGAATCCATCGAAACAAGGTCAGAATTACGGTATAGACACCCAAACAATGACCATATCCATAGCGTGGTTTACACAAATTTCTCTCTTTTTATTTTTATATGACCCATCTTCACGTGTATTGTACGGATCCCAGCACTTCTCTCATTCGATTCGTTTCCTCTCATCCATCATCCATGAAGATCTTTCCAACTTTTACGTGTAGCTTAGGCTAATGCTTGAGGATTTTCATTCTTGATCTTGAACGTCATAGAATGCTGGTCGAGTCAATTCCGTCTGGAGTCTTGAGACACCCCGGTTGGAGCGTTTCCAATTGGATTGTAGAGAGTGAGTTGTTCCCGGACAAACCGGTACCAAATTACGGACCCCAGAGTGAGAAGCTTAGTTGGTCCGCAGCGGAATCGAACTACCGCCATGCTCGTGATGACCAACATCACTACCACTGTGCTATCCGCCCCCTGATTTACACAAATAATCAGGCAAGATGTGTATTTATTTTTGGATAGACAGAAACGTACTATTGCTATCGATCGCTATTGCTATCAAAACACTACAGCAGATTAACTCTGCAAACTTGCCCTGCATATGCTCCTTAGCGAAATCTTCTACAGTTGTGCAGTGAAAGGCAATTCTCGAGGATACACCGGCAGCTTTCAGTACTCGAGACTCTAGTACACCTCGAGCAGCAGTCACCTAAGTTCATTAAAGATCAACTGGGATATAAAAAGAATCCAGACATAAGATCGCAACAGGGCCTATCCTAGATTTGTATCCAAATTTGAATTTCAGAGGTAGAGAGAATAGAAACCAACAATCTACCGATAAACCTATAGTACTGTAACCAATTCTCAAGACCGCTTTTGTAGTAACATCTGCAGTGGTTGAAAAGCCAACGTTTTCTTGATAAGCAGGCATAAGATTGCTAAAATACTATTTATTGCACAATGGTTAACATTTCGGTGGACTTCATCTTCTCCAGACCCTGAAAAATTTAGTTTGAAGACTCTATACTATTTCGCCAAACACTCATAATTTCAAACATATGGTAAAAAAAAACTTCCTTAAAGAAACACCGTTCTTTCGATGTTCTCCATTTACCCAAGAACGCCAGGCACATAGTTTGAATGGTTGAAGAATGAGCGTGGCTGCTGACAAAAAGTCAACCTGAGGTGTGGAGAAAGCTCACGCATGATTGCAAGGCATTCCACACTGCGGTTCCTTTTTGGAATTTTGGAATTTATCCAAACCTCCTCCGTCATGCTTTTGAGCCCAATACGTAACTAGTCGATTAATTTGACGTTAACAGGGTTGGTGGTAATAAGTCCGCTTCTCGTTTTTCCTTCCATGTTTTTAATCAGGCTTTACAAAGGAGTTCATCTCAAAGTTCAATTAAACTATATCCGACTCTACACACCGCTAGCACAGCAATAGGCTGAGCTGGTGAGGAACTAGGACTACATTCTAATTGTGAGTGAATCCTGTCAGGACAAGACCAAGAGGTTCCTTGCAATAAACATGTTTCGAAACCACTACATCATGAGGAAGAATCACTTGATGCTGCACATAGCCAACTCCAACGACCACGCCTCCAAACAACAAGGCCGGTAAAAATAAGGTTCACTTCAACCTGCCCCTTATTTCTGACGAAGTAAACCCAGCTATAAATCGGTGGCTGAAATGTGCCTAAGTGAGAAAACGGTGACAGCCACTAAATTATTGCCGAAAACCCTACACTGTCAGATAGTTCGAAACCGCTTTTCTAACCATCCACGTATAACACAAAGTTGCACGATTCACCTTAACGGAAGAGACAGTGAATGCACAAGTTCATGTACGGTCTACCAATCACAGTTCGTATAAGAGAAGATCCACATAAGAAGCATGAAATTAAACAAAATAGTCCACTACACGTTAAAGGACACAAAGATAAAAGGAAGAGGATTTTGAAGCAAAAAAGATTATCTTCGCACAAAAATCTAAACTTCACTTTGTAAAACTCTCCAGGCAATTTGAATAAAAGATGGACGGCAGGGAGGTGCACTCTGATAACGCTCAACCTCGCCTCGTGTCTCAGCCCGATTTTTTGACATGAGGTAGGAACATCGCACACTAATATAAATTCAGTCCAGTTGATCTTCCTCAATAATCGAAAGACACGAAAAACGGTATTTTAAAGAGGCTGTTTACCGTGCGATCGAAATATACGTATTGAGTTATTTTTCTGTCAGAGTTATGAAAATTCTAAGCTGAGAAGATTCAGTATCATGGTTTCTAGCCCCTGGAAAACAGAAAATTCGCCAGACCATTAACCACTGGGGAATAAATATTGAGTAGCCAACTCTATATCTGCTTATCCAGGAAACATAAACTGTAAGAAATAACTTCAGTAATTACCAAAACCGACTTCCTACTAACCTTGCCATTGATAAAATAATTCTCTATATTGTTGCTAGAAAACACGAGGTGTTACTTTATTACTTCACCACGATGAAGCTGACGTTTAACGGATTTCGCCCTCATCAGAGCTTAGTGCTAAGATGTTTTGTTTTCAATGTGATTGAAATGCTGGTTCAGCACTTTCTCTGTTTGGTTTCTAAGGCGTTTGGCTTGATACTGCAGTTGATGTTTCCGGGCTCTGAGGAAGGTGAAATCCGCTGAAACATTAGCTTCATTGTAATAAGGAAATAAAGTAACACCTCGTGTTTACTCAATTACGATATAAAGATTTAACTTCAATAACTTCAAAATCTTGCATACTTGAATCAACAGCTGAACGAAACCTAGGTTGTTGTTGTTTTCCAAGTATTTCTGATATATCGTTACACCATTTTCGTGAGAGTATGAACCTTCTAATTTCTTCCTAAATCTTATGATACGATCTAATTATAGGGGAACGTATTCGCCAAACCCGGTTTTTACAATGCTCGACTGGAACGCGATCTAATTTTTTGGCTCGAACCTTCTGAGTTATATGTGACTCACGTCGGCCAAAATGCCCTTCATATCGAAATCATCAGGTGCCCTTCGCTTTAGGAATAATCTTTGTGTTACTCTATCGATACAACAGGAAATTAAACAACGTGAACATATAAATGTTTGGTGCCCTTCCAAGTCAGGACGTCCCCGCAGGCAATCTGCGCAGCTCACGCCGTCGCATAAAAAAAGTAGTCCGAAAAACCGTTCTGCGAATACTTTGAGAATAAAGAATTTTTCCAGCTGATGGAAACCATTGTATAAGCCACCGAATAAGTACAAAAGTATAGAAGAACACAATGCGGTAAAATAAACAACCGAAAAGTAACTCACTTGGACACCATTCACGAAACTACGAACTTAAGCACAATAGGTTAACAATTTGTAGAAGCCTCTCTTCAAAAACGCGTGAAATCCTCCTAATTGCTAAATAACTGAGTGAAAGCATACATGCCGGATGGAAGTGACTTTCGCACCTCAGTTCGAATAATTAGAACACATTCACGACGATGCTTACCTTCTCCTAGTCGGCGTCTGGTACGACGCCTAATATTTGGCTATTAAGGAGTTCCTGGTTTTTTGGCAGTAAACGGCTTCTTTTCTATAACTATGGACTTGAGTGGATATGAGCTGATAGGATTGTGGAAGAGAATTAGTTCTATCGCTTTAAAGGTATGAAAGTTTTGTATACTATTGTTCATATGGCTCATCATGGAATCACGTTGTTGTCAGTATTTTGGAGGGTTCTTCGGTTTATGTTCAGTCTATTCTAGTATGTTTCGTATTGTACGATCCATTATGAAGACCAAAATTGAAATAACAATCAATTGCGAGTCAAATGACCGGTAATGGACTTGTTCGAGAAACATCTTTTGTACATCTCTAGGTGCACAGCAGAGCTTTTCCACGTTGACGAGACCGTCATAGCATAGGAGCTGAACAAGTTCTAGGCAGATAACAAAGAGAATTAGGAAAAGGGTAATTCGCGCCCGAATGAACCCCCAGAAACAAAAAAACCTTTACAGAAGTCATTCCAGCCACAATGTCTTATCGCAAAAAAACGTCTGTAGCGGTCATGTGGTCACGACTGTGTTATATGTTAGCTTGCTATTGACATTGTAGTGGTTCACTCACCTCTCCCATGGAGACAATAATTGATTTCCAAAGTATTTATTGAAACAAACGGTATCATTCAAGGCATACCTAATCTTCTTAAACTACGTGTGAAAACATTGCTTACAACTCTTCAATCGTAGTATTTGGATATTGGTGAACATTGAAAACGTTTATAAATATTGAATAGTAATGATTGAGCCACTTCCACCAATAGTGTGGCAACGAGTAGTATTCACTGGTGAAATTGGAGTGCATGATATTACCTTTTTTGCAGTTTTTCAATCTAAGTTTAACCTACGGCTCCTTGTATGGACACTATAGTGTCCATACGTGCCCGGCCTAGCGGAAGATATGAAGAGTATGGTGTTCATTCTGTTGAGTTGGTTCCAGAACTTCTTTTCCATACGTACATGTATACCAATTCGATAGCTAATCAAAAGCAGATCACAGCAGGCTTGCGGCCAGAAAGGCCATGCTCTACACTTAAAGATTAAGAAAAAAAACTTTTAAAAATTCTCAGTAAACCGACGACAACTAATGTTACTTCATTCTAGTCACTATGGTTATTGTAAAGAATGTGCGGCTCTCAAAAATACCGAAACCGACTAAACATAAAGTGCGAAATACTTCCAAGTGCTTCTAATTTTAGTTTATAAAGATGTTCATGAGTAGAATCTTTAAAACGTCAGTAAAAAGTTCTACTTATATGAATCCATAACTGCTCTCGAACATAAATATGTGCTGAGTAGTCTTTGAACACAAAATCGTCCTGAAGAAGTCTCCTTGGTGAATTATCACCTTATGACAGCGGAAGTGTCCCTAAATGTCCAATTTCATTGTGCAAGTGCAACCGAAGGAACATCATTGCATGTAGTTCAACAGAAAATAACCGTGCGTACATTCATCGTCCAAAGATCTTCCTCATACAGGTATATTCCATGCCTGTTAGTCTCGAAGTAACGTGGCGCGTTTCCAGGTGGTGGACATGGGGCTAATAGCAGACCAAGATCGACCTAATTCTTCCCTGAGATGCAGATGGATCCATGGGATACCCTCCCTGTTTTTGATGCACTAATTTCAGACACATCTGAGTTTACGAAAGCATATTCATGAATGTGTTCGTAGATGAGTTCTCGTTTATGGGGATTGTATTCTACGAGTAACATCTGCGAAAAATCTGCAATCAAGTGACTAGGAAGTACATGGCAAACGGTTAGGAGTCGCATCCAACAAAAAAGCTCCTTGTTTACTTTGGGAGAGACTGGCAAGCAACCCGTGAGTAAACACCGCCCCACGTTCAGAGCTCATCAGGCTATAAGTGGGTATGGAACGCTAAACGCAATAAAACACCCGAGCCCTCCCAACCATAACAGCGCCCACGACACGGCAGCGTGGTGCTGGACAAGCACAGAGAGATTGCTAAAATCTCGAGGCCATTCTATGTTGCCTGAATCTCGGAGGAGTAAAGCAGCGATCTGTACTTAAAATACACGCTCTTGTATCTGAATCCTCGATAGAAGACTTGATCATGAAAGCAAGAAGGACAAGGTACGACATCATCGGACTGACCAAAACGAGAAAACGCCACCCATTCAACGCTGCCTACTACATCGGAGAAAAACTGCTCCTCAGAATACGTGAAAGATGAGGAGTGGGCGGCGTCGTTGTTTTTGCCTGCGCGATTTTAGCCATGAACAATGACTGATTCGAACAACTAATAGCTCGAATCGGACGTTTACGTTTGAGATGTGGATCAATAGCAGTTTCGACAATTGTCTTCGTCTACGTACTGACATCAAGCCATATGGAAGACGAAGTCGAAGCGTTCTGTATAAAGCTTGGAGGAGTTCTATACGGAAGATCATACATTCCCTAGGGTTATCATTAGAGAATTTAACGCTAAAATTGGACCCAGAAGAACGTCTGAAGAACACCATACAGGATTACAGTGGCACATTCAGTGTGGGCCACCTTCTGAGTTTATCCTGATGACGAAAACCGTTCATGATAATTCGCAATTAAAGAAGCCTCGTTTTCAAGGCTGGTCGTGGGAGTCTCGCAATGGAGAGTACCACATCACAAAGAAATTGACCACGTCACAGTAAACCGAAGGTTTTGTTCAACTGGTGTCGCTGTTATGCCACTCGAGTTATCCTAAATACGACTGATAGAACAGTGGGCAAGGAAAAGAACAGCCATGTGAGCAAGAAGGCTTTCGAGAAGGTTTCACGTGATGAACTATATCCACACGATAACAAAACTCATTGAAGCATAGCAAGAGTACAACAGACCGCTCTGCCTCTCTAATACCGAAAGGAAAGCTTTTGCCTCACTTGAGAAAGAAGCATTCATAGAAGCTCTCGACAACAAATGTACCTCCACTCACTATATAAAGATTCTTCGAGAGCTATATAAAAATTTCACAACCAAAATATTACCACTCTATAACGACATTAACATCGATGTCAAAAGAGAGGTTCAGCAGGGCGATACCATCTCGCCAAAACTATTTTATTTATTTACTAAGACTATAAGCCACCCCCCAGATCGTCAAGCGAACATTGGAATGGGACAACATGGGAGTGAAGATCGATGGTTGGCAATTACACCATCTTGACCTTGCTGGTGACATAGTTCTTATAACACTAAACCTCTGTTAGGTTGAACGGATGCTTGCCGACACTGAAGAGAATTGAAGGTGGGAAGATTTGTCTTCGACTAAATCTCACAAAAACTATAAAAAAGGATAAAGCTCTCGGCATTGATCAATTCCTGATTCAATGCGCTATGCATTCCACTTTATTAAGCATCGTGCAAATCTGGCCTTTACAATTACCCTCAGTAGCCTAACGATGTATCTAACCAGTGCTGCTATCCTCCCAGACAAGTTTGGTTCCATTTTACGACCATGGAAGGCCTGGTAAGCCTGGGGCGTGGGTCGATTCTATTTGTATTGAAGGATACCTCCGACCACTACTCTACTCACACCTCACAAAAACAATGCTCATGAAAAAACGGATTAGTTTCATATGCTCCACTCCCGCCCAATGAAATGAATATCTTCGAATGCTCCAGCACGAATTATCTAGGTTGGCAAGTGAACATAATGAACGACTTAGACCCAGAGTTGATCAGAAGGAAGAGGGCGGCTTGGGGAGCTTTCTAGAGCGTCGATGATGTAGTGAAGAGAACAAAGCACACCCGAATCTGTGCCTACCTGTTCGACTTCAAGATACTACCAACCTTAACGTATGCGTTGGAAACCTGGCCGCTACGTAAGCAGGGTGAAAGGTCACTCAGTGTTATAGAACGCCCAGCTGAAAGAACGATGTTAGGAGTGTTCCGTATCACCCGTAGTCCGGGAAAGGTTCCGAAGCTCCGATCTACGTCAGTTAACGAAAATTAATGACGCCATTTTATACTCCAAACTATCGAATACTAGGTGGACCGGACACGTACATTGCTCAGGATTTCAAACGTACTGCAAGGAGCGCCACCAACCTTTTGGTTAAAGTTCTTCACGAAAATCCTACAAGAAAAAGATGGTACTCAACGAATCCCTAAAGTGAGGCGAACCTACTGGGATATTCTTGAAGGCGACAGGAAAAAATAGAAGATTTACTGGTGTTCGCCCGAGTCACTCAACGATCAACGGAACAATGAGTGACACACTCATCACAATAACCTCTCATCGCCAAATGAACTCGCCCGAAAGCTTTTTCTAATTTATTACAAACGAATGATGACTTGTCATGTGGACCAGATTTACACGACATGTGTTGGACAAATCAAACAATGAATGCAAAAATTGCAGCAAAGCTTATATTGGAAAAAAAATAAATTGGATAGAAAATGCGACAGGTGTAATCATCTTAACTCATTTTTCTTTTCTCCACACACGTATTGCATACAATTCATCTTGAACACTATTTATTAAAGAATCACCACAAAAAACCGCGTAACTGTACTTGTCCAGGATTGTGTCCCGTTAAAGAACGTCACTTTACGTTTAGGTAACAGAAAATTTCTGATTTAGCCGCCAATTGTGAACAACAATAAGTTGGAAAATTGGTACAAAAAAGTGAAATTTTAAAAAGGAGAGTACAAACGTGCACTAGGAATCTAGTAAAAACTTTCTAATCGTTTCTGAAACAGAGTGCGAAATCTACTTACCTCGTTTAGCCTGTTTTTTAAACACCCTATAAAATTGTCCACTCGAAATATAATTCAGCTGTGTACTCTTTCTTTGATGAGCTTACACGATGTTGATAAATATTCTCTATTTTCGAGTAACGTTTCGGCAGTTTCGTCTTCATCAGAGCCGATGATCCGAGTCGATGGCCCACAGTTGTTCGTGTTCTCGAGGTGGCGTCTTCGTCACGCATCGAATCGGGTATTCCTTAGTGGAGCATCTCTCTCCAATGAACCATACTCACTCGGCGGTTGCCTTCTATAGAGGATGCTTTTATACGAAAGCGCCACCTCGAGGACATGAACAACCGTGGAGCACCGACTCGGATCATCGACTCTGATGAAAACGAAGCCATCGAAACGTTAGCCGAATAAAGATTGTATACCAACCTCGCGTAAGCTTACTAAAGAAAAAACATTGACTAGTCATACCGAGGTTAAAGGAAAGTCAGTTTTGAACTACAATTCAGCTACCTCCTTCAGAAAGACGAATCAGACAACCAACCGCAGCTTCTGTGGCGTCGATGCCAGTTACTCGTAGACCAGCACGCGCTAATGGTACAGAAAGTAAACCTCCACCACAACCGACGTCAACAACTAGGCCGTTTTTCTGCAAAAGGAGGACAGATAGGAAACTCCTTCTTCCTGATAAACAGCTCATACGCATTACTAAAGTGAACCTTATCGACATTCTGAAGTATCCATGGCACTCTAAGCATATTCATCGAATGGAGTAATTTGAACGGTCCGTTCTCGTCATGCCATTCTGCCGATAGTTGAGAAAAAACTTTAATTTCCTTATTGTCAACCGAGCCCTCTGAATACGAGGTAAGCTGTCGGCCTTGATGAATACACCTTTTTAAATTTCTGTGAAGTTTACAAGTTAGAACCATCTGAAACAGTTTCCTTCTCGATTTATTAATTTGTCCATTAAAAAACATATCGAGATATCAAAGTGTGGAAACTACATCACTATTAAAAAAAGCCGAACAGAAAAAAATTTATGTGGGAGCACACTGGCAAACGATAAGACGAAAAACTCGAGGGAAAAAGTATATACTAATCTTTCTCATCTTCTAAATTACTATATAAACATAAGCAATTTAATCTTGACCACTAAGGAATTTCGACAAGAAGTCCTTCGGCTTCGCCTCGACGTTTTCACGGAAAAGGTAATTCCGCACGTGATCGGGGTTATAGAAGGCAAAGTCGATTGAGTACATATGCTATAACGATAACTATCACGTTCAACTAATTCGTTCCGACCTTGGTGGAACTGCCAATAAATGAAACCTAACTGATGTACTAACACCAGCAGTTTCGTAATTTATTCAACGAAACAAATTAACCACAATTTCTGAAGGATACAATGGAACTTGTTCCGGCAAATCTACATCTACAAGTTACTCCGATGCTTGAATGCCTTGTCCTCACGGTTGTGCCGACTCCAGAATAATCTCCAATTTTTTGGAGTTTTCAGGTTTAGCCATAGTGGTTTCTTGAAGTCTCGACGTCAAGCGCGCAAAAGTCTGCTCCAGGTCGTCACCACCACCACAGGCAGTCGCCACGCTTGTAGATCAGAGGGTGATTTGCCACCATGCGGTTAGTTGGCTACCAGAATGATAGATCCTGATACTGGTTTACTCTCAGTCGGATTTCCTGATGAAATCGCTGGACTCCTTCTCAGCCTGGGAGACCATGCTGGAGAGTTGGATCCCCCTGCAGTACATCGTAGCCCAAGACCCAGGAACACCTCCCAGCCACGATGAGGCGGTAAACCGTTGAGATTGGTGAAGGGTAAACCGTTACATCTACAACATATGAAATTTTAAGAACACATTTCTCTAACCTGCTTTGTTTCAGCCACTAGTCTATCGATTATCCGAACATCGGTTACATGTGCGTTTTTTACGAACTGCTTCTTCAACACTGAGCGGAACACACCTAGTGGCATATCCTGCATACCGAAATCCCACCAAAATTTTGGGGTTATGCGCTGCCTGAACGGTGAACCTCTAAACTATCTCTAACCTTTATCGCACCAAGAAGCACCAAAATATTTCTAGACTCACAAATCTTTGTACACTTGTAGCACAGAACGTCGCGCCTGTTCTTTGTTGACAGATTGAACAGGTGCAACCTGGCGCAAGGCATTCGAACCAGTCTGAATAACCTTCCCGGCATGCGACATTTTACGTAAGTGTGTCTCCTCTAGTGATCTATAAAACCCATTTATGGTGTAATGAGCAGAACAACCAGTAATGAAGATTCGGACTAAATGTAACACATACAGTGCAATCACATATAGGTATCTTGTTGATGTAGAGTAAAGAACATTCTAAGAAAGCGTGAGATACAGCACCTTTACGGCACTTTATTTCATCCCGACTACAGAGCAAGCAAACCTCGCAGTCTCCTTGGGTAGCTCAAATGACGTCAAATTTGAAAAGGGTAGAACACAAGCCTCTTCAGTTAACCTTCGAAGTTACTTGTATAAATGAAAACTGTACTAACCAATTTAAAAGATAAAAACTAGAAGCTATCCGCGTCGATCAACCCCTGAGAGATACGCCATGCATTCAAGTTTATTAAGCATCAATGGAGGTGACTAAGTGTATACCTGGCCTTTACAATGTCTAGTGGTGGCCTACCGACGTATCAGGTCAGTGCTGCTATCCTACCAAACAAGTCTAGTACCAATTTGCCGAAACCGAACACTGCGCTACACGCGTCATCTCAATCAATCAAAAAATCAACCAATTTACAAGTGGAAATGTGGCCTCACATAACAATAGAGATGACCAACTTCAAATTTGTCTTTAATCCTAAAGAAGATAAAGTAAAATACCCTTGCTTCAAGGAATTCGACTTTTTTCTCCAGAAGGTTAAGCCTGTCACTCAGGCAAGCTAACTTGGTCCTACAAGAAAGCTCTGAAACCAGAAAATTAACCAGTTACTGACCTAACTATAATAACCATACTAAAATAGAGGGTTACCAACCAAAACTGGAGAGGTAATTGGCGATATTCTTTATGTTGTCGGCGATGATCTGCAGGAACAAACTACAGTCACGAACTTATAGTGAAAAACACCGAAACCCACCTGTTCGTACTCCCTGTTATCCCAATCCTCCCGGAGTTGGCGCTGCACACTCATATGACTTGAGCACCGACCACGGTACTCAGTGCTACCTCACCGGTTGCGCAGGACAACTCGTGCTCACATGCCGCCCACACGCTGCGCAGAGCGCACCGCAGGGATAAGAGGTGGGTCATTATTTGGCGTTATTCCACGCTATTCATCCCATCATGGTACCCTAGTGCTTCGGTTCAAAATGTTCTGTGCTTGCTGAACACTGGACTTAATGTTAGCTTTCTATTTATTGCCTAATATTGTATTTCACGACAGGATAAAGACAAAGGATAAAGGATAAAGCTCTCGGCGTTGATCAATCCCTGAGGAATGCCCCATGCATTCGACTTCATTAAGCATTATTTGGAGGTGACTGAATCCATATCTGGCACTTACGATGACTCGCAGTGGCCTACCGATATATCGAGCCAATGCTGATATCCTCCCAGACAAATTTGGTACCAATAAGCCAACGCCAGAGGGATGGGAGGCTTGGTGGCCTATGGGAGCTGGGTTCCACGTGTGTCGCAGTAGCGCCTCGAAACACTGCGCCGCACGCGCCCTATTTCATATTTCACGACAGGGTGTGAAGTGAAACAGCACCATTATGATGCTGAGATATTAGCAAAACTTAGACCTCATGCCAGATTCGAACACGCGATTACGCTTTCGTGGGACCCACGTGTTACACTGCACCATGGAGACCCTCACTGTGCCTTTTTCAGCCAGTTTTCTACGTAACCGCGCCATAATCAGTCATCCGCCAACGGGAATGATTTTGGGAGCATAAACCGGTATCGAACCCAGTTAACCTGAAGCTGTGATCGAAATCACTATATTAAAAAGTGGCTAAGAGAATGGCAATGCGAGGGTCTCAGTGGTGCAATGGGTAACATGTGTGCACCGGAAAGGGTCACCGTGGGCTCGAATCTGGCCTGAGGTCCAAGTTTTACAAATACCTTAACACCATAATGAACGAAGTGTTGATCAAGCGTTTTACGAAGTGACTACTTTAGTACAACCAATGTCTTGTATTTTGATTGAGAAAGCGAATACTTTCAATGCTGTTGATGGCAGACGTTCCCACATATATTTTTACAACGTGCATGATGATTGATTTGATCAAAATTCGGGTATTTGAATTATTTGAGTTTTGCATGTCCGTTTGTTTCTTAAGTGCACACGAAAAGATAGGCAGGAGAGGATCCTCAATTTTTGCACCGTTGTATTTTCACAGGGCTCGTGTGGCGCAGTGGTCGGAGGCGCCCTGCGACATGTCATGGGATCGCTCCCAGCGCCCATGGGCGACATGTCATGGGATCGCTCCCAGCGCCCATGGCTCAGCAAGCCTTCTATCCCTTCGGGATAGGCAGAATGGTAGCAGATTTCTGGAAGGATAGCAGCACTGGCTTAATACATCGGTGGGCCACCACGAGCCATTGTAAAGGCTAGATATGCATTCAATCAATCTCCAACGGTGCTTAATGAGGTCGAACATCCCCCAAGGACTGATCAACGCCGAGAGCTTCATCTTTTTGTTAACGCCAAACATAAAACAATGTATTAAATAATGCATAATAATCTTTTCACACTCGTACTCACACCGGCGGTGATGCAGATGGTTCTGATCGAAATTCATTACATCTTGTTACCCTATGGCTCCTCTAGAACCAATACTGCGGTTCGAACTTTCTTGATGGCATGACCTCTATGAGAGTCATCTATTATGGGTCACAGTAGTCGAGACGACGTCAATAGGGGTCATCTTGTTTCCAATAATTTAACTTGTCGCACAGAACTGTTCTCTTAGACCTCTTGTAACCAATTAGTTGCTTCAAAATACATGCTGTAATGGGTGTTGGCCTAGAGAAATTCAATCCTGTACTTGGAAATATGAAAGGAATGATTTCTCGTACGAGTTCATTGTCTAGTAATTTGACTGGCCATTGACTAGCATTTCAGGTGTAATCGCTAAAATGAGCCGTATTTATTGTATGTAATGAGCGATTACGAAGAACACAGAAATGAGCTCAGGACAATTTACAAAACTCTTCCAAATGTTGACACCAATGTATTTACATGACGGACCATAGCAACATAGTAAATACTTGCTTCCTTGGATACTTGGATGGTCCGTCTTCACTGGTTGTGAGTGGCCCAGCATAATATCCATTCCTTCGGAGTTTTAGTGGTTTAGTTATTGTGGTTCGCTCAGAGGGATATTTGCCACCATGCGACTGGTTTGAAACTAGGACGGTGATGAATCCTGGTATTGGTTTACTGTTAGCTAGGTTTCCTGATGGAAACGCCAAACTCCTTACCAGTCAGGGAGACGCTGTTCGGAGGATGAATCCCCCCCCGCAGCACATCGCAGCAGCCCGACACCAGGAACACCTCCCAGCCACCATGAGGGAGTAGACCGTCAGGCGAAGCACTGTAAATAGAAGCGTATATATCACTTATACCCATAAAGTAATGAAAGTCGATTTTAAGGAACCTATAAAGTGCTGAGGACGATTCAAAGCACATACGATAGATCATTCATAGTTAACCACAACGTTGCTGAGATATTTGCAAAACTCTGGACCGCAGGTGTCTATGGTGGGGAACGAACGCGCTATTGTCCTTTCCGGGGAGTAACGCGTTCACCACCACACCATGCGGGTCCTTTGTTTCGCACGTCTCTCAGCTATTTCTATCGATCTTTTTGCCACAGCAATCACCCGTCAGCGGGGTTGAAAATTATAGAAGGCAGAAAACAAAACGTTAAACATTGTGATTTCAACTACAGCCATAGCTTAACTGGGTTCTATGCCGATTTGCGCTCCCCAGATCAACCCCGCTGACGGGTGATTGCTGTGGCAAAAAGATCGATAGAAATAGCTGAGAGACGTGCGAAACAAAGGACCCGCATGGTGTGGTGGTGAACGCGTTACTCCCCGGAAAGGACAATAGCGCGTTCGTTCCCCACCATAGACACCTGCGGTCCAGAGTTTTGCAAATATCTCAGCAACGTTGTGGTTGTATTTCGCTTACTTAGTAACCTGCCATGAAAATTATAGAAGGCAGAAAACAAAACGTTAAACATTCATAGTTAGCTCTACATGTCCGGAAGAAAAAGATTCATGACTCAGCAATATTACATATTTTAGGTCGTTTTGAGATATTCGACAGTTCATCCCACTTCAGGACAAGATACAGCAACGAAATCGATGTCTAGTGTCGCCACCTCCCGCAGGTGCAGTGACAAGTCTATCTCTCGCGTCTCCTCGTGAGGACCGGCCTGCCGAGCTGTCCGCCGTCGCTTCGGCGCGCCGTGTGCAGTGTCGCGGCGCATGCATTCGCTTCGGGACCTCATTCGTCTAATCGAATTTCCACTTGCTGTCGTCGCATTCTCTATGCTTGTTGGTTTTGCTCTTAAATATGCTCATGGAACTTAGTTGTTTCTTACAAACTCCAAGTTATTTGTTTTTATTATTGAATATGTTGAGTGTCAGCGTAAGCAGGTGAAGTGAAGAGTTTGGAAACACTGAACCCCCATTTCATGGTTTGATTTGCGTATGAGAAACATTTTTGAATCCAAGACACATTTTCCTCTGTAAGACATTCTTCAGTATTTGTTTGTGCTCATTAGGTAGAGAATCTGGAAACGTTGAGGACGTTTTGGGAAGGAGGAAGGCTTGGATCGTTCCAGAATTTAGTGAGAAGCTAGTTAAACTGGGCGCGTGAGATTGAATGTGGATGAGACTGTAAATAAGTTGGCCATTCCACATCGTAAAAGCTATGGGAGTAACTTCGTTCTAAGTCCTACCACTGAGCAAGCTGTCGAGTGTAAGCATTTTTGCGATACTCGAGATAGCATTTAGGTTTAATGTTTGTTACTTTCCACTGTAGTGCAACTTTAGTGTTTGTTGTTTCTTACTTAGTTTTATATGGTGTCACTTTTATGTTATAGATTAAAGGAGCCGCATGGTGTGGTGGTGAACGCGTTAGTCCCCGGAAAGAATAATAGCGCGTTCGTTCTCCACCGAAGCGAAGACGCGGTTAAAATAGCGATAAAATCCCATAACACTGTCATAGCTGGGTGTGATGCAATCTTCAAAGCCTATGAGTAGGCATAGTGGAATGAACTGACTTACTATCAAGTTTGAGCAGTGTATGCTTTCGCGTTCGTCGGGACCATCTTTCCATGTACGCTGACGATCTTCGACGAGGTCAGGTTGAATCAATGTTACTCAATTCGATCGCTTTTACTTATGTCTGACACATCTGGTTTCAAAGCAGCATAGGCGTCCATGGAATAGTGCACATATTTTAAGAGTATGAGAGGACACGTGAGAGAAAATGGTTGCGCTTTGCAATTTCAGACGATGCATCTCAGTTTGCTAAGAACGTAATCTCTTTAGCAGTACTGAACTGAAACTCCGCTTTTTAAGAGAGTGCAAGACTTCCTTGTCGAAACTTTGATTGTCAGACTGGTATATGATTGATGCGAGAGGACCTCATCCAGTAGAGAAATGTCTGCCACCCCACGAACATGCACCCATTTCATGGGTGCCCACCGTAGGGTACTTGGAGTTCGGAAGGACGTAGTGGCGTTCCTCAATGTATCGCTGGTGTTTAACGCTTACGCTACGACATGGTCTCTAGAGCAGTCATTACTTAGGGACACAGTGGACGGTGTGACCTTTGTAAAGGTTATTTTGTCTTTTGTGGTTTGTTTTGGTGCACAGAACTGTTTTCAGTATTCCTTTCAACCATTCGATTACGTATATCAATAGACCGGAAGTGTAAGAAAACCTTTCTTTGGATGAATTCGTTAACCGGTAATTTACCTGGCAATTGAGTGTTCTGTCAACTGTGACCGCTGTAGTGAGTCATGGCTTTAGTATGGAATGGGACCCGCAGAACATTTCGAATTAGTGACAACAACGTGTTCCCAGGATCGCATTCTGTTAACCTCGGCATTGGGTTATAAATGCGTGGTTTTCTTTCTTAGCAATCGTGAGGTTGTTATAGATTATAGAGTATACGTCTACTTCCGTACAAAACCACATGAAGTACAACAGTAGCTGACGTTTCGGCAGTACCGCCTTCTTGAGAGCCGTTCTGCGTGCCTTTCATTGAAGAAGGACCGCTGTTTAGAGTCGAATATTGTTGTGTCTATGTTTATATGATGGATCATTGCAGCATATCGTAAATAGTTGTTATATTTATTTATATGTTCTTATGAGCTGACCTTGTTGAGCCGATGCAAAGTTGGCATAGGTTGTCGTCTTTGTTGTTGTCGTTGTCGCTGTTGGTCGACGGCTGACGTTTCGGTGACCGAGGAAGGCGAAATCGTCGAAACATCAGCCATCGACCGACAGCAACAACAACGACAACATGTCGCAAATAGTTGCATGTATAGCACTTATCCGCATGTAGCTATGAAGCAGGGTTCCTTCTTCGAATCCAGAGCATTGCGAACCTGTCAAGTCTTCCAGCTATCCAGATGCTGTCGTGTTGTCGAGAAACCGGCACGTCCGAACGACATAGAGCTAGGCGTCGTCGCGACGCCATTAGAGCACGATTAGGCGTGGTCGCCTAAGTGTTCAAGGTGCCACTATTGTGTTACGATTTCGTAAAACTCGATATTTCTTCCTCAGCATTGTTGATGTCTTCAAATTCCCGTGAATTTAAGCTTAGAGTAGCATTTCGGACGCATATAAATACGTTCTTGGAGCGATAGATCAGAATCTGTTCTAAATGTTTGTCATGTTCTTAATTCCTGAAATTCTGTGGAGTTTCCTCGCCTATGAGATCACTTATTTGTGTTCGTAGCATGTAAAGAACGTTACCATTAACATGTCCTTTGTAAATATTCTGCAGTAAGAGATACACCTGCGCTGTTATAGCGCTGTATGACAGGTTTAATGTTCCAAAATAGTTAATGCTAAAACATAAACCTGTGTTTTCCCAGAGGTGTATCATTTTTTTAAATGAATGAAATAGAAGGCAAGGATGTGGTATTGAGTTCGGTTTTCACATTGCTACAACCAGTTCCAAAGGACATTCTGTGGATGGATAACACTGCAAACCATTGCTTATGTGCAGTTAGAGGTCGGTCAACATATGTTCAGGTACACTTCACCATTGCGTCAGTGTGCACTAATATTTCGAAACTGACTTTCCTTTAACCTCGGTGTGACTGATCAATATGTATTCTTTCTTTGATGAACTTACACGAGGTTGGTAAATATATTTATTTTCGGCCAACGTTTCGACGTCTTTATGCCGATGATCCGAGTCGACGGTCCACGCCTGTTATTCGTCTCGATATGGCGGCTTCGCATTCGTGTCGAGTTAAGTTTTCCTCAGCGGGCCATCTCTTCGAATGAGGAGTACTCAATCGATGATGCCCTTTTATGCAGGGTGCTGGTGGTGGATATACTGATTGTCCGGTGATCTCAGTGTGCATCACTCGGACGACGTACATTAGGTTGTCTAAGGCTTGTTGTCGGTTTTTCTTACTAGAAACTTGGCGTTTCGCTTTTAAAGTGGAGCATATTGTTGTGTTCATACTCTCTGAATGCACTTTACATTGTTTTTATTACCACATTCATTTGTATCTGCACTATTTGAATCCAGATGAAAAGGCTACCACAGCCATTGGCGATGACCACTTGAGGATGTTCACTGAGGTGGACCACGCTCAGTGGTTATAAATTACATGGAAGGAGCTATGTAGTAGGGACTGCTGAATTCGAATTAAAACTGGAAGGCACTTAAGATAAGGATTCTGCGGGAATTCAAGGAAAAGTAACCAGGTTGTCGTCTTGAAGTCTACATTGTTAATCTCTTGTGCAAAAAAGTAACCATTGATTTCTCAGTGCCAGGAGCGACTGAAGATGAATTATGTACGAAGACGTTCTATCTACTTATTGAAGAAGAGATGAGGTGTCGAATGCTTTACTATGCACAGTTTGTATCCGAAGAACATTATAATGACTTTGTTCGCAACGTATAACAAATAGAGGGCTTCTTAACATCGAACTACTCTTCGGAGCGCCTCGGCGGTTCCTTTCAGAACACAATATTACTAACCAACGTGCTTCTGAGGATGACCTCAGAAGAATACTGGACGCAGGAAGCTGAAGAATTATCGTCATGCAAGAAATAGGCATTGTGTTGTGAGAAAGGAAATGCAGATGATTTCTTTTGTCTAACAAAGTTAGCCGTGAGTTTAGTTGTTTATTCGTACTGACCTTAGCGATATCAGGTCGTTACTCTAAACGCATTGAGCCAGCGAATAGGTCTGTGTTAGTGTGGTTATTCTTCTCGTTCATTTAAGAAATTCTGTTGGTGATACGGTTTTCTAATTGTTTTCATTTGAAATAGACTGTAATCGCCGTTCGCCACAACGATGTTTGCGATGATAAGTCGGGTCCTGGAATGGTTCCGGAGTCTTTTCTGGAAAGAAGAAATGGAGTTAACACTCGTTGGTCTGCAGAACTCAGGAAAGACAACGTTCGTCAATGTGATTGCGGTAAGTGATTTTGTTATTCTTCTTTCTTCCTTGCTTCTTCCTTGCTATTGCTATGTCTCTGTTGCTGGCTATACGTCGTTTTCACTTCAATAATGTAAATTCCGTAAAACCTTCAACCCAATCTAGATAGAAGTTTTCTTTCCTTTTAATTCGTTGTTCTTTCGGTATATCTTTTAGCGTAATTACTAATTCTTTATATTCTTGTTGAGCAAACGCGAGGCGGTATTTCATCCTTTATTCAAGAACAGACTGACTTTTCGGCGGATTTCGCCTTCCGCAGAGCCTCGAAAGGTCAAGTTGACCGCAATCCACCTAGCCTAACACTTCCAAAACCAAACCGAGAAAATGCTAAACCAAGACTTCAATAATATTGAAAGAATTATTCTATATTATATTGAAAGAATAAAGGATTATTTGATCAATGTCGAGGTTAATGGAATAGAAAAGAATTAATAGAAAGTCAGTCGTGGTAATTATTGATATTCCTGCGATGAAATATTGCTTACATGAAGCTATCGTTTCCCAGCTTTAATGAAACACATTGTTTGGTTTGTGCTTAGAATCTGTATGGTTTTCTTTTAATCTGGAATCTTCATCCTATGAGAGTGTTTTGTTGTAGAACGAATAAATTTGCTACTATCAAAGAAAGAATACATATTGACTAGTCATGCGGAGGTTAAAGGGAAATCGGTTTTGAAATTTGCTACTGTCTATTGAAATATTTAGAGTGGACAGTTCACAGAGGACATGATACCCACCGTTGGCTTCAATATGAGAAAAATCACTAAAGGCAACGTAACCATCAAGGTCTGTCCATGTTTTTTTTTTGATGGTTTTATTACCACTTCTTTTTGCTGTTTTCGCTATTTTTGTAAACAAATGTAGATGCTGAAAAATGGATTGTTTCCTAAACTATTCTTAAATTGAAGACATATATCATCTTGAAATAAGCCTCATGTGAATGGACGTTTCTTTTCAACCTTTGCGACACATTTTCGAGAACTTATTCGACTAGACTGTTAGCTTGCATTCCGAGTAATTTGCTTCGTATCCATTTTTAGTCTATTTTATAAGGTCTTTAAATCTGTTTGTTTCTATTATTTAAATGGTGCGCGTGTGGCGCAGTGGTCGGAGGCGCCTTGCAACGCACACGTGGAACCGATCCCCGCACCCATGGCTCACCAAGCCTTCCATCCCTCTGGAGACGACAGTTGGTACTAGACTTGTCTGGAGGATAGCAGAACTGGTTGGATACATCGGTGCGCCTCGGCGAGTCATTGTAAAAACCAAGTATGTATTCAGCCACCTCCAACGATGCATACAAACTCGAATGCATTGCGCATCCCTCATGGCTGATCAACGCCGAGAGCTTTATCCTTTCATTTATTTAAATATTCTGATCCTTTCTGTAGTATTCCTTAGGCTTTCGTTTTCCAATATTTCATGTCTGTGTCTCAATACTTCCACTAACTCGAATACGGTGCACATAGTTCGGAGTTATGTGGCACTCCAAGGCACACGAAAACCCTTCATTCATTCGGAAATGCAGAGGGTCTCACCGTCTCGCTGCATGGTCGCTGGATTTAGCGACGTGCATCGTACGGTTTTCGTTAATCTACTTGATCTGTTCGCTTGCCTATTTCATGTTTCTATCGTATTATTAGTTATGAATTTACATATAGGGGTTGTCACCACATGATTTCTCTCATCGGAAATGTTTGTTCTAGTTATGGGATATCGGTGGTCAGCCAAGATTTCGGTCAATGTGGGAGCGGTACTGCCGTGGGGTGAACGCTATCGTATTTATGGTGGATGCTGCCGACGAAGATAAGTTGGAGGTATTCTCGTTCACCTATTTGTCTTCTTTTCGACTTCTCAGCGAATCTTTTGGCTGTGTATGTATATATTATCAATTGCAAATGTTGCATTGAGATATTTTTAGTATTGCTAGATCACCTTTCGAAATACTATCTTTTAATTTTTTCATTAGCTTATATTTTTAGTTGAGTGTACTAAATGAGGTAATTTTTTGACTAACCCTAGAGATAATATTCGCGAGCTTGTTTAGATGTTTGTCAAAACATTTATAACGAGGGTTTATAAATCGTTTGTCTAGTGATGCTTTTAGTACGTACAATCTAGCGTTAGTCAGTTCCATTTACAATTGAGAGAAGATCGGCCTGTGTGGTCATATTTGAAATTACTTTCTTTCCGATCGTTCATTTAGCTCCGCAGATGGTTTTTCCTTACAGTATTTGTGTCCAATCGATAGCTTATCCCACACAAATTATACAAGACGTCCCTCAAAAAAGGCTGTCCTCTACGGTTAGCAATTTGCAAAAGAAGGAAGAACATCTCGCGATTGGAGTACTGTAAAAAGAGGAGGGTACAGAGGTGATGACATCTAAAATCTCTCTGCGTCTGGCAAGGGGCATACAGCAATCGACTGCGTTTTGTATCTACATTGAAGAGTAAAGACTGTAGATATTGAGTATGAAAGAGACAGTATTCGTTAAGCTGGAAGTATTAGTATACCGTATGTCATAGTGACAAGTGAATAACTCTGTCATATTCTAACTCATCTGTATTTGTTCGTTTTACTTAACCTTATGAATAGATTCCTCTTGTATCACGATAAGTAAAGAGAAAGAAATTTGTTTAACACATTTATTAAGTTTAGGACGTTTCTTATAGGCTTCGCGCAATGAATTAATGCAGTTGCTTGACAAAGCTCAGTTGGATGCAATTCCTGTGCTTGTGTTAGGGAACAAGAAGGATCTTCCAGGTGCTCTTGATGAGCGACAACTCATTGAACGCATGTAAGTGTATTTTAGCACTAATGGTGCACTAACCCGTATCATATCTGGTCCAGTTAGTCATAGAGTAGTTCGAGAGGTCACCGTAGTCTCCGTATGAACCTAGGACGCACTAACGTTATTCAGTCGGTTCAGTTAAAGCGATAGAGATGACGTTGTTTTATACATGAAGCCACTTATTCTCCTTGTCTTTGGCGGGAAAGTAATCACAGGTAGATCGTTAGGTTCTGTTGTATCACACGTTTATCTCTCCATCCCTCAGTGGGCTTATAAATGGACCTTTCGAACTCTATCTCATCTATGAACTCCATTGTGAAGCCAGACCTATGCCTTACAGTTAAACGTGCAAGGAGTGGTGGCATCCCAAATTAGGGGAGTGGCATGCCATAATAGTCCAATTAGCGGATTTTTCTGTACGTTAAATTATAAACATTGTTCGGTAGTACATGAGTGAGGTAGTGTTTGATATTGGTTGCCTATTTCTAAGATCCTGAGTGTCGTTCGTGCTTTATTGTCAAATGAATACATTTAAGCAGAAGGGTGCTGACATAGAAACCTCAGTTGGGTTTCAAACTCGCTATTTCTCGTTTCTTTTTCCAGAGGCTCATATGCTACTGACTAGGCCAACCAAGGCCGTTGCCTTACCTTTCAGTGAGTAAAAGTCAAACATTGTGGTTTCGCCTGCAGCTTCAGGTTAACTGAGTTTACTGGTGATTTATACTCGCCAGATCATTCCTCCTCACGGGTAATTGCTGATAGCACGGTTAGAGTAAAAGCTGGGTGGGAGAAGAGCAAGATAAAGGCCTTCATTGGTGTGGTGGATAGCACGTGACCCCTTGAAAAGGGTAATGGCGGGTTCGATGTCTAAGATGAGATACCAAGTTTTGTTCATGCCTCAGCATATTTGCGAGTATATTTCACGTAGTACCCTGCCATGAAAAGAAAATTAGTGAATAATTGAAAGGCTAAGACATCGAATACATTTATTTCAGGAATTTATCCGCTATACAGAACCGTGAAATCTGCTGCTACTCAATTTCCTGTAAAGAGAAAGAAAATATAGGTTTGTAGGCGTTTATTTCCCATTATGCTTTAGGCTTATTTATACAATCTAGTCCTGATCCGAGCGTTCACTTTTGCTTTCAATCTTTCAGATATTACACTGCAGTGGTTGATTCAGCATTCAAAAACTCAGCGTTAATTAGCTTTTATACCTTTGGCCATTGTATATTGCTTAGATTTTCACTATTATTTTCTATTACTATGTGTTTTTGTTTTACACTATATTTTAACATATTGAGTCCTGAAAATCTGAAAAAAGTGGATTTTCTGAGCTTGTGGTTTCGGCGATTTGACATGTTTAATCTTATTGAAAACATCTGATAGTTGTCAAATCCAACTAGCTTGCTTGTCACTGCTGGTGATACTGGTTTTAGCGTGATAATTCCAGATCTGTGCATCATTTCTAGCTTAGTAGCCCTCGAATGGATACGTGTTGTTGAGTATTCCCTATGTGTAATTTATGTTTTGATTTTTCATAATAAACATCCAGAAGTACGTGAATCACTGATGTTTGGTCATGGGCTGTTTTCATCGCAGGGCTTCATATGACTTGACTTGAAATGAGCATTTTGGACCTAGTTGCAATTACTGAGAAACTATGTCCTCTCACCTTTTGCCAAACACCTTATATGAAGGTGCCTACATGCGAGTTTATCGTTGCGATTACTTCGTTTCAGGACTAGTTATAGAGGCTGAACGCAGTGTGTTTACTCATGATTGAGATTTGTTGAGACGAGTTACATGCGCTTTATCAATGTCAAGCCAAAAGATCGAACACGTTGTTGGCTACTTGGAGTCCTTACTTGTGCGTTACTTTTGAAGTTGACATATTTGCATATGTACGATCTAAATACCTTAACAAAGCATTCTTACGAAAACAAGACCTTTCAAAGGGAACAGGTTATGATAACAAATTTTTGTCTGGGCTTTGCTTTCGTGTCACCTCTGGGTACGTTTTCGTCAAAAAGGTAAAAACAAGAGCTGCATATCAACAACGATACTGTTTTTACCTCCAGAGTAAGCATAGGGTGACGAGATGGAGATGTCACAGGTGTCGGCCTAAATAATTCATGGAATTATCGAACCTGAATGCATAACAGAAACGACGACTTTATTAACTACATTAAAAATACATATCTCAGACCAGGTAATTTATACAAAAGCTTGCTCATTGTCTTCCTCCATGACATTTAGTCCTGTGTTAGATGCTATCTAAAAATTTATGCAAGATGAATTGATGGACTAAGATAAAGCCCTAATAACGACATGATGAACTTAGATATTCAAAGTACCAAATTCTCAAATGTGTCATAACCCCACCTACCCGAAAGCAAACTCTGGAGTTATGTCAAGCCTCGACAACAACCATCTTAAAGCTCACCTTCGACTTAACGGTGACGTGCTCATAATGTCCGTGTCCTGCTGCGGCCTCAGATTCCTTTATTGTGTAAGGAACTTCCTTCAGAGTGCGAAGACGATTCTTGTGTAACTTGAAAACAAGAGTTGTCGCTAGATTTATATTTCTCGGTACTGTGAGAAAGCAGAAGTACTGTGCCCCATTCTCTAACATTCTGAATTCTATGCTGAAAGCAACGACCCATACTTAGTTTATCGCCACATATTTGAGTAACCGTTTTATGATTAATTTGGTCCATCGTGCCTCCATAAATCACCACAACTCATTTTCCGCTCAGCTTTCGCTTTATAATTCTTATCTGTGCATCTTTCTGGTAAATTATGCGGGTTTTTGCATTCTAGAACATGCTGGTTTGCCAACATTACAGAGGGAGATTTTCCTTGAGCATAGGAATGAGAGGACTTTAGGTTTTGTGACCACGTCTGAATTATCGAACAAACGTTGGTCTATTATTCTAGAAGTATCCATGGTGGTCAGGAGTCGCCTCCAAAAAAATCCATTTCTACTCTAGCATAGACTAGCAAGCCACCTATGATCATAACAAGTCTCCATGCTAAAAGCACAACAACCTAACCATAAGTATAGTCGGAGAGCAAATTAAATGGGCCACGTGTCCCCTGACCTCATAACAGACTTCGATACGGCACTCTTGGACGAGTATTAAGAGGATGCTAAAACCTCTGAGCCATTCTAGGCTACCTAAATTTGGAAGGACTAAATGACGATCCATACTTATAATGCGTGGTTGCTCGCATCCTCCCATTGAGGGCCTGATAACGCAGGCTAAAAGAAAAGGCCGCTCATTCGAAGCGATCTTTAACCTCGGAGAACTGTTCCTCGGAACATGCAGCAATAAAGGATTCAACGACGTCAGCATTTTCATCAACACGATCTTGTTCATGAACATTTTTCAACAACCAACAACGCGAGTTGCACACTTACGGCTGATCAAATGTGGACTAATACCTGCTGTGATGATCCTTACCGCTTACTCAGCGACATCAAGCTGTGAATTCGAAGCACTCTGTACGGATTTGGAGAAGTTCTACAGAAAAGACCGCATCTTCTATAAGGTCATCACTGGCGGGTTTAACGCTAAGTTTGGATCTATGATAACGCCTAAAAAATATACTGGGACCCAAAATATGGAATCAAATGAACACAGAAGACAGCTCTCTGAGTACATGATAACCAAGACCGTTGTGAGCTATAACAATAGCAAAAAGCGTTCCTGTCGACATTGCGGGTGGGGGTCTCCCAGTGCAGAGTACCATAAAGAAATTGACCATATCGTGGTAGGCTCAAGGTTTTTCCTAACCGAATTCGGTCTTGTCCTAAAACTTTACACGGAATCGAATTACTGTATCCATCGCTTAAGATTCCATTTACCAAGGAAAGGGTAGAAATCCGCAAAAACCAAGAAAAGAAACCTCAAAACCACCAAAAATCGGAGTTTATTCAGATCTTCAGTTTGCCCTTGAGAAGATGCTGTTATCGGCAACATCAATAAGGAATACAACACTTACACAATGAAATTATTCAACATCTTCACACTTGACAGAACGCTGTATAAAACCAATACGACTAAGGCAGTAGAGAAAAGTCTCCCTCTTTTATACAACACTAAAGTTATCAACTCTTCAAATACTCTACTGGTGGAGATGAATTACTGAAAACCTAATTCGGGCATTATGTGTTAATATCCCCTAACTAGTAATAGTCACTCAATGAAACGAACAATCTCGCCCGAAATACGACCTTTTGCAAATTATTAAGTGTTAAATAAAACTGTTTCTAGACGGAGCCCAGAAAAATATCTACAGTAGGCAAATGATTCAAAACAAATATTTTGGCAAAGAGAGAAAAACCTTGGATCAAAATGACCAGCCAGGTAACGAAGGAACCATGCATGATCAGTATGATCAGCCGCTCCCTCCACTCCCATGAAAATACATGAACTTGCACATTGGCGAAAGATGCGTTAAATGAAGAAAAATAAAGCTCTCGGCGTTGATTTATCCCTGAGGGATGCGCCATGCATTCGACTTCATTAAGCATCGTTTGGAGGTAAGTGGATGCATATCTGGCTTTTACAGTGACTCGCAGTGGTCTACCGATGTATCGAGCCAGTGCTGCTATCATCGCAGACAAGTTTGGGACCAATTTGCCGACTCCGAAGGAAAAGAAAGGTTGGTAGGCTCGTGCCGCGGGGATCGATCCCATAAGTATTTCAGGGCGCCTCCAACCACTGCGCTACATGTGCGGAGAATATATTAGCAACCAATGTGCAACAGGAATTCAGCGTTATCCAATGGAGTGCTCTATAACACTCAGGAAAGCCTATTAACTAGTTAACACGAATTTTTCAAAGCCTAACTGTACCGTTGGATAATTAATAGAAAGTAGGACGACCTTCGATTTTTGATGACCTCTCCTTGTTTTTTCGTCTATGAAATATCTTGCACATTCGATACAGTAGAACTGTCCATCACCAGGTAGATCCAGATCAACCTAGGTAACTATATTACGCAGCGAACCGTACCACCTACACCAAAATCTTATTTTTTTTATTCGAAGTAAAATTTTTGACCACGTACCTCTTGGTTCAACAATTTCGCTGCTTTGTTCGGCTTCATCTCTTCATGTATTTGATCAATGTCTTTTCCTGGTCTTTTCTTTAGTTTATTAGAAATTGTATGTTTTCTTCTCCTATTCGAGGGCATATGCACAGGCTGCAGAATGTATATTAAGCGCTAAAAAAGACGTCATTCCAATTGCTGATATACTATAGTCATACACACTGTAACAAGGAACCCAACAACATAGATGAGATTCTATTATTTGACGAACGAACAATGTTCAGACGAGCAATTCAATGTCGCACCAGTACAAAGATGAAAAATAGGGCAGTAACTCCTAAGACTAAAGTGGATTTGACAACTGAGAGCGATTGGAAAAATGTGGCCCACGTACTTTGACATCGGAGGGATTAGAAAATCACAAGAACTCGTAATGGAGCAACAGAACTGCTTGTTGATCGATGAGAAACAATGTACCAAAACCTCAAAGATCCTCTGAACGTATTATTTTCCGGAGCCATCATAGAACAATGTTGCAAAAACTTAGTTTGAACACCACTGCCGTTTTCTCTCTGACGAACTAATAGTAATCCTGGTATGAAATAGCTTTACATTTCATTCTTTCGGGTCACTTCTTCGATAAGGAACATCATAAAAGAACATCAAGAAGCCCTTATACTACGCGACGATAAATGCGTCTTCCTAGGGGATCTAAGAACTTCTTAGCACCATAGTCCCTTTTAATTCTTTGCATAGTACAAACACTATGTGTTTCAAATGTGAACACTACAACGGAACTCTCCCTCCATCTCACTCTCAGTTAACTCTCAATATTCCTTGCTGATTATAAACAAAGAATCCGAAGTAAGATCAATACATCTATACATTTGCTGCTTACTAACAGCTCTAAAAAGTACAATTTAACAACGTGAAAATACAATATTTCTGCACATGCAAGACTTGTTGTAACCTATAAAAACCAGATTCAAACTTTTTGAAAATTCGCAAGGCATCAATTAACTGCTACAGCTTCTTTCTCCTTGTCCAGTTCGTCTAGTTTGTGAGCGGATTGTGATAGCGAAAGTGATGAACCCAATCCGAATAAATGACCTTCGACCAATCGAGAAACCTAAAAGCCCTACAGTTAATCGGTTTAGAAACCACCTAACTTTCGTAAGTCGCTCATGTCATTACTGCTACATTTCCATAAATATTACTAATCAAAAAAAAATCGGCAATACTTTATTTGACGTTATGGAACTTTATTCGCACTGGAGTGTACCAATACTTTTTTACTTTTATTTTTTCAGTACTTAGTCAGAACAGTACCTTTCATGTGACTTCAATGTACTTCCAATAATGACTACAACTGATCGATCATCTTTCAACATCATCACCAGTTATCTTGGTAACTGTCGAGTGACTCAAAGAGGAGCTAGCCACTTTTCCACTAGTCCATGTCGCATATAAGAGTAGCCCAGTAGGCTCTTCTCGTTTTAAGGACTCGCAGAGCACCATGTGTTTTTGGGTCTCCGTGAATAATTCCGTGTTTGACATTCCAAGCACTTCGCTAACGGTTCCTGTTCAACGGCTGCCGTTCAGAAGTACCAGGTGACCGCCCCAACTGATTTTCTACGTTTTAGCGTGTAAAACGGTGTCTCTTATCTTGGATCCTCTACGTAGGTGAGCACCTCAGAACTCGTGCTCTTATCTGGGCGTTTGATAACGCTGATTCATCTTGTATTCTAGCCACGTAACGACTATATTTCAGACCCGTATGTCGAGGTGAATGATGCCGACGCCTTTTTCGATTTTTGATCGTTGACGTTGTCAGAGCTCCGCATCCGTCTCTCAATTACTTGAAACAAGATACTCCTAGCACTGCCGTTTTGACTGCGCGTTCTAGAACGCTATCTTTCATGCTTCTTCCGTAGCGGCAAGGCTTCTTACACATACGTTAAGGCAAGGAAACTCATGAAATCGAAAAGGCGAGCACGGAGTCGGTTGTTCTTTGTTCACTCCACTACATCCTCGATGCTCTTGAAAGCTCCCCAAGCCACTCACTTCCTCCTAGTGAACTCTAGAGCTAACTCGCTTATCATTTTGACTTCTCAACTTAGAAAGACGTGGTTGGAGCATTCCGAGATATCCATTCCCTTACGCGTGAATAAGCTATACGAAATCAATCTGTTTTTCATGAACATCATTTTAATGAGATGAAGTCGAGGACCACATTTTCCAGAATAGCTACCAAAGTCGGCAAGCATTCCTTCCACCCAGTTGCTCGGTGTTATAAGAACAATGTCATCAGTAAAACGAAGATGTTGCCATTTCCAATCACTGGTTTTCGCCATCATGTTGTCTCATTCCAATGTTCAAACGACATTTTTGATGGTGGCAGGAGATAATTTTGGTGAGATATTATAGCCTTGTCGAACCTTTCTGTTCATGTGGTGTTAATATCGTTATAGAATAGTGATATTTCGCTTGCTAAACCTCTAAACAGCTCTTCTAACTCAACTGAGTCAAAAACTTTCTTCAAATCTAGGAAATTGAGATCGAACACTCTTTTGTACTCTTGCAATACTTCAATTTGTCTTGCTATCATTTGGATATGGTCCATCGTGTTGAATCTCTTTCGAGACCTTACTTGTGCACACGGCTTTCCATCGTCAGGTGTTCTGTCCTCCTGTTTAGGATAACTCGAGTGAAGGGTTTGAAGGCAATAGGCAGCACGCAGATTGGCTGATAGTTGCAGGCATCGTGGAAGTCACCCGCCACGAACAATAACACGGTCTCGCTGATCGTCTATTGGACAAGAACCTTGCATTCCGACAGGCAACCTATGAATAGCTGAGCCAGTGTGTTAACGAAGAGTGGCGGAAGGCAATGGTGACTTATACTATTCGGGGGTCTTGTTCCACTCTTTATCGAAAACGAGAAGTGTGTTAAAATTGCGGCATTTTCTCGTCTCAGTTACTCCTATGAGTTTGTACCTTTTAGCATGTATCATCAGATTCTCAATGTAGGATTCGTATGCTCTTTTACTGCGTTATAACTGCATATCCGTTATCTTAATACTTTTTCTAATTTTTTTTAGATTTATGCAGTCTAGAATGGTCTTGAAGTGAGAAATCTTTGCGTAGTCATTGTTCTATTGTTCATTTATTGATACCCACGAATAGTTTACTGAGTTGCCAGCGCGGAGGTTGGGCATACCCACGGGTCGCTTGCTAGTCTCTCAGAATAAAGGTGGAGCTTAATTTTTTGGCATGACTTCTAACGTTATCCGACTGGGAAGAGTAGACACCGCTTACTAAGTGCTATAACATGGGAGCTTCTAATAAGGAAGTAAATGGAGGTTATATTGTGCAAAAATCGTCTTGCAGAAAAAAAACTATGGTGTTAGGGCCCACTAATGGAGCATAAGAAAACAGCAACAGAAAAAATCGGAAGAACAGCGCAAAAAAAGAGCAGTAGCTTTAATATGAAGCACTAGTGTTCATAAAAAAACAGACCTTTTCCCAATTATCACTGAAAAATTGCTGCTTGATTTTAAAGAAGGTTTTCGCAGTAAGAAGGGCATCTGATCCAGCTTGGTGTCGCACGCCATGCCGCTTCACATCTAGCTGATCGGCAACCTAAAGATCGGAGCTTCACTTTTACAAAACGAGAAAAATTGTAGCTCCTGACAAAGATCTGCAGACCCCAACGGTTTTCATTAAAATTCGTAAAGTCCACGAACTGGGACCAGAAACGCAGTCGTACGAATAATGCACGAAAGGTCACTGGATCAACTCCGCCTCGCTCAAACCGAGCTCTTCGTCCTCCAGGTGTCAGGAAATTGGCACCAGAGATGCCTTAGAAACTCAATCGGATCTAGAAAGGCCAGTGACTACCTGTGGTCCACTTGTAAACGGTCCAAAAGTTTTTCTCAAAATTCTAGTGAAAAACAAATCGACTAGTATTCGAGGAAATTCGTAAAAGAGACCAAAACTTTCAATCAGAAATCGAAACCATACACAAATCCAAAGGCGTTTATGGATGATGAAAGCAAGAAAGCCAATTCAGTTAAAGAAGTACTAGGATTCGCCAAAGGTTATGCCGGTTTAAAAAAAACCATCCACAAACTACGGTATGTAGGTTCAAATTTGGAAGCGACTATTACCTCAGCAGCGAATCAAATCAAAACAAATCACACTGTTAGTATCAGAAACATGTCATTTTAACAAGGAACTGTGTAACGTTGTGGGATAGCAAAAAATAAACACACCTCCTGTAAGCCACCTTTAAGCTTGGTATTGAGAGATCCAGGCATTCGCAACATCAACTTTATGTCGTAGCAACGCGGGAAAAGGGCACGATGAAATTGGAAGAACTGAGATTCCTGAGAGAAGAAACAAATATGGCGTACTACCAAACGCATCCTACATGTTACTGGAGAGCAATTCCTACCTCTTTTGGCAATTCACCAAGAGTTATCGACTTCAGGAGATATCCGAAATCGTACCCTGATGAAAAAGTGAGCCAAGTAATCTTCTCGTCTACCACCAATCCAGACGTTGTTAGCAGTTCTCCAAAAATATCCATGGAAATTCCTTCGTTCTAGAGCACTAGTACTGAGTCAAGAAGCACAATGCTAAAGCACTCAAAATCCAACATTCCTCCTAACGGTTTACCGCCTTATCGTGGCTGGGACCTGTTCCTGGGTGCCGGAGCAGGACTATGATGTACGGCGGGTGATTCATCCTCCAAACAGGATCACCCAAGTCGAGAAGGGGTTCGACGTTCCCAACAGGAAGCCCCGCTGAGAGGAAAATAATACCAGGGTCCACCACCGTCGTGATATGAAACTGGTCGCATGGTGGCAAATCTCCCTATGATCCACGAAAGTGGCGACTGCTTGTGTTAGTAACGACAATGGACAGACTCTGGCCAGGGTGACCTCGGGACCCCAGGAAACACCATGGCTAAACCAGCGAAACTTCGAAAAATGGATATTATGCTGGCTCCCGCACGACCAGTGAATGGGCTGTCCAAGTAAATTTCAAGCAAGTAAAATGCAACACCTGCAAACGGTTGAAGTCGATTCCTGCGGCTCTCAGCATTTCAACACTTTCCTGCGAATACATGTCATCATTTAGGGAAAAGTGGAAATTGAATTGCCAAACGTCGCCTGTCGCAGGCAGATCACCTTTTTCATCCACCAACGCAAACCCGACCTAAACAAATGACGTGACTAGAGTGAAAACTCACCGTAAAGAAACCGTACATTAGTACTTTATTACGAACCTATGTTGTGTCACAAAATATCTCACCTGTATCAACTTAAGCATATTAACATTACAGGACACTTGCTGATAATTAAAATCCTCCTTGCTCTTGAATGTTCCTAGAGGTGTTGCCACAACCCCTGGAAATTCGGTATCCATAGCCACGAAAGGATAATCCTTAACAAACAAACTAGTATTGTAAAATCACTCTAGTAAGTAAGCACCAAGAACTACCATAATCATAAAAGTGACAGACCTCAATGAGACTCCGCAGCTTTCCAAATTCCTCTTCAACATTGGAATTCCATACATCGTGTATTCGAACCTCTTGATTGCCGCTCATAGATGTTTGGGAAGGAAAGGAACTCCCACCTCAGTAGGTCTGTACAACAAACGATGATAATGATTACTACCACAATGATGCTGAGATATTTGCAAAACTCCGGATCACGGCTGACGGGTGACCGCTAGTGGAACTGGTAGATAGAACCAGCTAAGCGAAAGGCGAAACGAAAGATCGGCATGACGTGGTGGTGAGCGTGTTAGCCCCCGGAAAGGGTAATAGCATGTTCGACCCCCACAGTAGACACTTCCGGTTCGGAGTTTTGCAAACATCTCGGCATCATTGTGGCTGTAATTCACATAATACTCTTCCGTGAGAAATTGTAGTAGGCAGTAAATAAAAATAATTAACATGATGACAATGATTACTGACAAATTGTACGGATTCCTAAGTGTCCCTCAGAACGGTTTAGCGCCTCATTGCGTCTGGGAGGTGTTCCTGGGTGTTGGACTGCGATATAGAGCGATGGATTCATCCCCTGATAGGGGTCTCCCAAACTGAGAAGTTGTCCGGCGTTTCCATCCGGAAGCCTAGCTAAGAGTAAACCAATACCGCGATCCACCACCGTCCTGGTATCAAAGTTGCACAGTGGCAAATCTCCCTCTGATTCACTAGGGCGGCGATTGCCTGTGGTGGCAAAGACCTGGGGCAGACTTTGGCCAGGTTGACCTCGGGATTCCAGAGAACCAAAATGGCTTAACCAGCAAATCTCCGAAAAATAGAGGTTATGCTGGGGTCCGCACAACCAGTGAGGGCGGGTCGTTCAAGTATTAAGTAAGTGGTTGTTTAAGCAATAAAACCTTATAAGTTGAGTTGCACCAATGGTGAATAGACTGCTAGACCTCAAAGTAAATAAGAAATGTAGGCGATAATTAACGGGAAAGAAAACCGGGCATAATACAAAATTAGGCAGATTTTAGGATGAGCATGACAAACAGCATAGCACTCTCAGTAAGTGATAAGGAACGAAATTCATTAGACGATGAGGGCACCCCACTAAGTCATCACTCTTCTTGCTAGGAACGATCCTTGAATGGCAAGTCTCATGGAGGAACAAATGGACCACGTTCGTCAGAAAAGACCACAGACCGAATCCTTCTCTACGAGTGCTCCACTAAGGTCTAGATTCAATTAGAAGAGATTGAAAAAGGAATGCGACGATGACGCTTTTCCGAGTAGAGTGATATCATCTCGTATGAACTGTTTTTCCCAGTATTTTACGATACATACGCTAGGTTCTAGGACTAAAGCCACACAGGTCATCCCTTTACAAGAAATGTCGGTAAGTAGGAAAAAGAAAGATCAAGGAGAAAACAAGAACCACAAGAAAACGCTGGAAATGGACTTAGACTGGGAGGAGACGGTTTCTCCTCGACTTCTGCACGACGATTTAGACCCAGTTTTAAAAATTACAGACTAGCTTTCGAATTATCGATCAATTTCGAAACGAAATACACCTGTTGCCAAAATCAAGGTGGCAGTGTTAACGAAAACTGAGAACTAGTCGTGAATGGATCTGACTGGAACGCCTCACATGGTTATGCAGACCGGCCATGCCCAGTCACTGAGGCAGCTTCCGAACTTAAAGGACGCCCGACACGGCGTGGTCCAGGAAGCGTCCGAGCTGCAGTGTGGGAGCGCGCCTGCCACTCCGTGTTGTTCGCCACGTGCATCGGTTCTTCGCGTCGTCCTTCATGCCCCTCAGCAGTCAGTGTTGTCCATCGGTGCTGCAAATGCTGGTCCTCTTCATCCGCTTCGGTGGTCCTCGGGGAATGCCTGTTCATCGCTCTGGGGTTTGCTGGTCGATTCATAATGTTTGATTACAGCGGTCGAGCGGTCGTATTGTTTCCTTTTTTGTGCACGTAGTCGTGTCGGTCACTAAGAATCCTGGATCTTTCCGATATCTTTTCGCATTCCCACCGAGCTTTATGTTGCTAAATTTTTTCATTTCTTTGTTTCTTGTTCAGAATACGTCGAGGAAGAACTTTTCTAGGTAATGCGTGTCGGCTTGGCATGCTGGTTCGTCGCGAGCTGTTTCGGTTAGTTAATTTATTGGTTTGAAAACTCCGAAAGTTCTCCTTCAGTCATTCGGAATACTTTGTTCATTAACACGTTTAATTTCATCGAGTTCAATTTCTGTGCTAGTGATTGAAACTGTTGAATACAACCGTAAAGGCTCACCACAATGTGCGTGCAAACGGCGGAGCCTATAAAAATTGTGACTTTACTAAGGTGAGACAAGAATAAAGCTAAAAAAGCTCTTGGCGTTGATCAATCCCTTAGGGACGTGCCATGCATTCGAATTACTTAAGCGTCGTTTGAAGGTGATTGAATGCATATTTGGCTTTTACAAGGACTCACGGTGGCCTACCGATGTATCCAGCCAGTGCTGCTATCCTAGACAATTCTGATACGAATTCGCTGACCTCAGAGGGATGGAGGGCTTGGTGGGCAGGGGCGCTAGGATCAATTCCATGTGTGTCTCGCAGGGCGCCGCCGACCACTGCGCCACACGAACTCTAAAACGAGAATGCTGAACAAATTGTCCTTTGTACAAATCACATGTTATTATCATCATGACAGCTAAACTAGTATTTTTAATTTATATTAAGTTTTTGGCTTAGGCTTAGGATTTTAAATTTATATTTTTGAAGGCTCCACTTTTACACACACATTGTGATGAACTTTTGCGGTCGTATTCAGCAGCCTAAGACAGTAATCGTTCAAAATACGTCAATCACTAGCACAGGAATTGAACCTGATGAAGAACGTCGAGAGTTTTATCCTTTTTCATCCTTTTATACTAAATTTCTGACTAATTTCTCAGTGTCAGACTATTTGCGCCCAGTAGAAATTAATTTGTTTGTTGAATCTAGGTTTGTTTATGAACAAGTATTTCTGTGGTTTTATTTGTAGAGCCCGTCCCTTGAAGGAAATTATTTTATCTCGTCGTTTAACATATCCCATCATGCTGCAGTTCTGGCTGTCCTTGGGTGTAATAATATGTTCGTCAAAAGATCATTCAAAGTCAGCTTGTTCAACGGTGAGAATTAACGATGTTTTGAAGAGGTTAACTTACGTTGTGTTTGGGTTTCCATTTGTTGAGTTGGTGTCTTCACATTTATCGCCATCGTATAGAGTGTGTATTGGCGTGTTTGAAGAACACCTGACGTTCCGAGTTTTGCTCATATCTCAGGATCGTTAAAGCGGTCATGTTGTGAAATGTCGTGGCTATGTAGAATACACCTTAAACATCCTGAAAATTTTCTGGAGTAGTGATTCCTGGTCGTTCGCATTCGAGTTGTTTTGTGTAAATGTTAAACGACACGGTATTAGAAGAGTTCTGCTGCAGCTATGTATCCGAGTAGTTTGAGGTACAAAATGGTAGTAAACGGAACGTGGAAATGGAATAGGGAAGGAAAGGTAATAAGCGTATACGAAAGCGTCTCCATATTTAAAATGCTTTCCAACCACTCATACGTACCTTTAACATACAATTTTTGGTTATTCTTTCCTATTTAGTTGCTGCGATCAGTCATGTTTGTTGCACAGAATGTAGCATGACGAGAGAGGTGATCAAGATTTGTGAATAATATTTAAGGTATAATCTGTCATAGACACCGTTTAGGAACCAGTTTTTACTTATGAACTTATTTCTTTTTATTCTTGCTCATTTTTATCACCCTAATCCTCTTCCACTTTCATCGGATTCTTGGACGTACCATAAGAGATTGCTCAGTATTCTCAGCTTCTTCCCACTGTTGATGAAATGTCTATAGAAGATTTTGATCTTTCCTTGGTTTCTTCAGGCTTATGCAATTCAATATTTAACCATTGTGGTTCTTTCCTTTCCAATCACATCGTGTTAACTATGTGGAATTGGCAAATGTATAAAAATCGAAAGAATGGAAAAGAATGCCGAAGTGTATTTCATGTATCTCACAGATCCTTGGCAGAAGTCAATAGTACCGATTGCATGATGGACCAGAACAAACAATAGTTGGATTCTTTCCAAAGGGAAATGAAAAGTTACATAGAGTGTAGGATATACTTAAAGCATAGAAGCCCTAGAAATAGGCGATAAATTACGCAAGGAAGACCAGTATATCGAAAAACCGGGTTGCATTGAGTTCGAAGCGCACCGTGAGTGGCGGAAAATTGTACGTGTTACCATGCCTATTTATTCCACGGAAAATTGAGGGCTTTCGCAGTCGTTTTACGAAGCGGCTCATCATACATGTCAGTAGCTGATCAGGCGACTCAAAAAGCTTCGGTGTGGTTCATACTATCTGTCGAACCACATAAACAACCAAACTGCTACCTGCTTTAGCTTATTACCTGCTAATTTTTGGTATCAACTTCGAATATAAGACATTCGTGTGTTTAATCTCACTGCACTTAATTTTGTGCCTTCATTTTCTATTTCTATATTATTGGGAAATGCGGTTACCACATCCTTGATGGAAAACGTATTAATCTTTGAAGTAGAAGTCGTTCATCAGTTTCTTGATGGTTGGAACTTATAGCGTATTACCTGCTAATTCTTGGTATCAACTTCGAATATTCAGCTTCCAACTGTGAGTCCCCCAAGTACTCGGCGACGTCATTTTCCACCACGGATGGATTCTTCCACTTTCATACCACGTTCATTGCGGAGTTTACACTACAGTGTAGTAACAATGTTAAGGTATGTTATGGCTTTTCCTAGTCCCGAATCATATCAATGTTTGATGTTCTTTAAGGAATCTCCAAGCACCAAAATCTTGGAAGTATTGTTGATTTTCTTAAGTCTTAAGTATTTTGATCGTTTATTTGTAGGACTCTCCCTTCTTCGCAGTTATAAATGGGAATATCTATAATGTAGCCGTTTCAGTAGAGACCGCTAAATACCAGGTAGGTTTTTTCATTTTGTAGAGTTTTGTTGCAAACGTGGTAATTTTCGTTTCAAAAGACAGATTATCATAACAATACCGCCTAATCATAAAGTCAACTGAGTGCTTGAGGGCTTAATAGACACATAGAAGAGTCTTTGCCTTTACCTAAGGTAACTATTTCAGTTTTTTATTTTCTGCCTATTATAATTTCGCAAATATCTCAGCAACGTTGTGGTTGTATTTCGCTTAGTACCCTGCCGCGAAATTATAATAGGCAGAAAATAAAAAGGTAAAACATTGTGATTTCAACTACAGCCACAGCTTAACTGGGTTCTATGCCGATTTGGGCGCCCTGATCAATCCCGCTGGCGGGTGATTGCTGTGGCAAAGATCAATAGAAATAGCTGAGAGACAGGCGAAACGAAGGACTCGCATGGTGTGGTGGTGAACGCGTTACTCCCCGGAAAGGACAATAGCGCGTTCGTTCCTCACCATAGACACCTGCGGTCCAGAGTTTTGCAGATATCTCAGCAACGTTGTGGTTGTATTTCAGTTTTATTAAATTTGAACTAAACGACGCAGTTGGGGTCGTGCGTCGCTAAGTCCTTATACGCGAAATCCTGCTTATTCAGTCGCGTCATTGTTCAAAACACCGTCCGTGGTGAGTAGAAAAGTGAGGAGTATACGTTTCGTGTGCTCCAGAAGGTTTAGATTTTATCTTGTCAGAATAGGAAGACATGTTATTTTTTGTTGGCAGAGATCTGTAGATTCTAATGGTTACAATTTCGTTTAATAAAGTTCAGTATAAGCTGCATTTATTTAGGATTGAAATGCGCAATTATTTCCAGCCATGTTTTCATAGGAACCGATGCATCCATTTGCAAATCTGTTAATTGAAGTAGGAAACGGGATAATGGATACATTTTTGTCAGGAGGAAAAATGCTTTCACTTTGCCAAGATGAAAATTTGGCTTTCACAAACACATAAGGATATTATTTTTGATATTTTTTTTCTAGGTGGAGAAACAACTAAGGAAGAAGAACTAAGTTTCGATGGTTTTCTCGATCAAATTATCTATTATCACACCCGAATCGCTTTTTTAAAGAGTTTCAAGCTTTTAATCTCTGAAAAACATCGGCTTTAAGCAAGTTCAAAACTATAAAAGAGCTTTTTATTTGCTACCTACTCTTTTTTAATGGTAGAGTATTATGTGAAATATAACCATAATGACGCTAAGATATATGAGCCCCTATAGGTCAATGACACGGCTGAGAGAAGGGCGAAACGGAAGACTCGCGTGATATGGTGGTGGACGCATTAGCCCCGTAAAGGTTTATAGCGTGTTCGGTCCCCACTGCAGACGACACCAGCGCTCTTGAGTTGTGTAAATATCTCAACATTATTATGCTTAAAAAAGGGCTTTCTACGAACGTTTTGTACAGCCGTTAAGCGATGGAGCAATGTCTCTTTTATAGAATTGTCAAGTTCCTAATCGCTCAACTGCTTTATTTGCTGAAAAATTGTCAACACCTTTTGAAAAACCAGAATCACCGCTAATTTCTTAACGTATATATGAAGAATAATCTACATAAACATCTTTAATACTTAGCGCATTTTCTGGTATCATATTGCTTTCATGATCGGCAATTATTAATGGTTCAAGAAAATGTTAAGTAAATTAGCTTATCGTAGTCGATTTCATTGCTAAACGTCGGATTGCTCAGGTATCTTGGTCTCAAGAACATGATCAATCTGATGCACAGTTAGTCTCCATAAAGATTTTTGATGAAGATGGCATATCCGCCTATAGACGAGTGGGTTTTGTTTTTGTTGTCAACAAGGAGAAACTAAGTAAAGATACAAACCGGATGCTCCTCAAGTATGCTTTTTTTCAGAATCCTAGTGCCGCTCCCCTATTCACAATTGATCATTACCATCCAGTAAGTGTATTTCGAAAACTTGCTTAGGCATTGTATATCACGAATTCAGTTGCAGTTATCAAGAGTGTTTGGTGCTTCAGGGTCTCACGCGCAAGCCTTTCGTGTCTTCGGAAACCGTTGCTTTGTTTGTGTTCATTGCTGCTCTCTACTACGCTATCAAACAGAAGTCGGAAATCACCCATTAGATCGCCTCTCCAGAATGTGTCTTGAAGTAAAATTTTCATGTGTTTTAAATCCTTTCTTTTTTTCGAATTGTCGAAAGTGCAGTATAGCGTGAAATATGTTTTGTTGTCTAGTTTTTAAGTCCTTATTTCATTTCGAAAGTTTCTAAATGGAACATTGTTAATACCTCGTGTTGATCCTATGTTTTTCCCGAATTGGTGTTTCATAATAAAAGGTGTAAGATGTGCTGGTTTCGTAGTCACGGTGCCATCCGTAGGTAAGTTATCGATCGACAAGTACAATTTTTTTTAACCTGCCGTTGTTAGTATATGGGATGTGCAAAACGTAACTGTAAGTTAACTACAGTGATCCTGCGATATTTGCAAAACTCCGAACTAAGGGTGCCTGCGGTGGAGGTCGAGTACGCTATTACGCTTTCCAGGGCCTATCGCACTAACCGCTACACTAAAGGGGCTTTCCACGTCGCCTTTTTCTCAGCCGTGTTTTAAAGGTGCTATCAGCAATCAGCAAGAATACAATTGCAGTTGTGATCTTGCGTAGATTAGGTTGATGTGAGAGCATTTTCAATGTTGTAGTAAGATGTCGACTGCATTTCGTTACCATCTTGCACATGCCGATAACTTGTTTACTTGATCCTTCGATGGGCCGTCGTCATTGGTTATGCAGGACCTAGCATAATCTGCACACTTTCGGGGTTTCGCTGGTTTAACCATTATGGTTTCCCTGGAGTCCTGAGGTCAAGGTGGGCAAAGTCTACCCCAGATCGTCACCACCGCAGGCAATCGCCATCCTGGATCAGAGGGATATTTGCCACCACGCGACTAGTTTGGTACCAGGACAGTGGTGGAGCCTGGTATTGCTTTACTCGTAGCTGGGCTTGCTGATGGAAACGCCTGACTGTTTCCCAGCTTGGAAAACACTGCCGGAGGATGGATTCCCCCGTTGTATATCGCAGCCCTACACCCAGGAACAGCTCCCAGCCACGATGAGGCGGCAAACCTTTGGGAGGAACATGCTGGTTGGTTGTTGAGAAGTAGCTTTGTAATTTTGTAGTCGTAATGAATGCGATCGGCTACGCAGAACTTCCACCACTTGAGCAGGTTACCTGTTATCGTTAATGAAACTGTATGTGCCTTTGTACTGCCTTACCTTTCAGTAGTACTTCCCCTTTGTGTGTAAGAGATACTCGTCGTATGTGGGATAGAATATGTATAGAGCCCTGAGGAGAGCGCTACACGAGCTTTTGGTGTACTCGTGGGTAGCACCTGTGGTCTGGTCGTCTATACATACTTACATGCTCTTTGAGGATTTGAAGTCGTATTTCACGTTGCTCCTATCCCGGCATTTGCTGTTTTGAACATTTCACATCACAGATAAAAATTCGTTGATTGATGTGTGGAAGTACTGACAAGTACTGTTTAACAATCATTTTTAGGGATGTTAAATATTTTGAGGCGTGGGCGTGCGAATGCTTTAGAATCATTGGTTCGAGCAACTGTATGCTCCAGATTATCAGCGGACAGTCCTCACTATGAGAAATTGTTCTTGCCTATGTGCCAGGGTGTTGCTTCGGTACATAGAAGCTCGTGCAGTTTCAATGATAATCAGGTAGTAATTAGACTGTCTTAATATAAAATAAAAGAGAAAATATGTTTTAATAAGAGGAGGGAATCTCGTTGGCTGTTCCGTGTGAGTATGACCGAGGAGCAGAAGCGTGAGAAGAAGGAAAAAATTGAAGAAATGAAGGAGGTGGCCTATTTCTGTGGGTTTTACACGTGGTTCAGACACTCAGTGATAATTGTCTGTTCAGGAGGAGGAACCCAAGAGTTTATTTGGTAAAATAAAATACTACTTGAAACGTTACTGGTATATCGCAGTGCCTGCTCATATTGCCAGCAGTGTCCTTTGGCTCGGTAGCCTGTATGCTGTTGTCAAGTGGTACGTATCCTTGGAGGGTTTCGAATGTGATTATGATTCGTTGGAGAGACGACTGTTGAACTGACGAGATATATAGTCCGTCTAAACATACCTAGGAAATCTAATGTCGATGTCATCGGCAGTTTTTCAGTGGTGTCGATGTAGTGGCTTTTCTTCGGTTCATACATACTCCGGCGTTGGTAATAGAGAAGATCGAGAATATACCTCCTAGTGCAGGAGTTTTTGTAATTGCGCTCTTACTATACAAGGTATGCTATCTGTTATATAACGTTTCTTGTTTTTCATATACTTGGAAACTTGGATGGTGCGTGCTTACTAGTTGTGCGGGTCCCAGCATATTCTCCACTTTTGGAGTTTTGCTGATTTAGCTATTGTTTTTCTGGAGTCGCGAGCTCCGCCTAGCCGAAGTCTGCTCCAGATCGTCACCGCCACAGGCAGTCGCAACCCTTGTGGATCAGAGGGAAATTTGCCACCGTGCGACTAGTTTGAAACCAAGGCGGTGGTGGATCCTGGTATTGGTGTCCTCTCAGCTGTGTCTCATCATTAGTTTATTGTCTCATCATTTATTTATTAATTAATACATATATTACTTCGTATTTGGACGATCCGTCCTAAGTGGTTAGTTTTGCTGCAGTCCTGTGGTCAGCCTGGCGAAAGTCTGCCCCAAGTCGTCACCACCACATGTAGTCGCCGCCCTTGTGGATCAGAGGTAGATTTGCCATCATGCAACTAGTTTGACTCCAGGACGGTGGTGAGCCCTGGTAATGGTTTACTCTTAGTTAGGCTTCCTGATGGAAACACCGGACTCCTTCTCAACTTGGAAGACCCTGTCGGGGGGATGAATCTACCCGCTGTACATGGCAGTCCGACACCCAGAAACGGCTCCCAGCCACGACGAGACGGTAAACCGTTGGGAAGTTATTTTTAATATGTTATTCGAAATCCCAAGTATTGAGTGTGAGTGAGTCTTTTTCACTGTTTCACATGTGTCTTACTCTATAAAGAGGTTACCTTTTCAAATGTAACTTTTGTTTCGATTCTTTACTTTGGGACGGAATACACTGTCCAGGTTGCCACACCATTTCGTTACATGACTACGCTAGTGTTTATACAAGCAGCGTTCTGGACACTAAGAAGAATGGGCAAGCTACAAACCGCTCGTGAAGTGGAATTCAAGGTTGGTGTGTAACTGAGGGTTAATTCGCTCAGCTCTTGTTTCTGTCCTGTGTTAGTAAATGGTTTTCGGTAATATTTTACTTTTTTTTTAGTAGTAGGAAGTGCACAGGTGTAACGCATAGCTTTTTTTTTCATACTCTTTAATTTGTGGTCTGTGGAGGTTACATGGTACTTGTCTAATTCCAGATGCGTACACAATTTGAGATGAATAAACTCAAATATGGAAGAAAACTCTATCGGTAAATAGAATTCACTAGCTCTTTTGATAGCTGGGAAATTTTCATATGTCACCATGTTTTAGGTATCGTAAACTGGGCGTACGTGATGTGTTGAGGAAGCAGTCACAAGAAAAAGAGAGTTTAGATCGTAACAAAAAGGAGATCTAGTTTAACTGTTCTTGTTATTTATTTTTCTTACTTGTGGTGCTGGTCTGATACTGGTTTTAATCCATATTCTTTCGTTTTTTTTATTCCAGTTTGTTTTCTTTTGTTATTATATCTTATTCTTCTTGCATTCACTCAGGAATAAGCACTAATTTAGGGAACCTTATTTAGGTGTTCCTATGCCTAGATATGACCCATCTTCACGTGTTATGCGGCTTCCAGCACTTCTTCCATTCGTTCCGTTGCCTTGCGACAAATGTCCTGTGGATTTTCATGCTGCTTCGATTGCTACTTGGGAATCTTTTTTTTCTCCCACAGATATCGTGGAGTGCTGGACGAAGGAATTCATCTTGGAATCCTGGAGTTGGTGTGCTAAAGCCTCAAAAGGAGCGGAATGAAATCTGTTCCACTACGACTCAGATTCTTCGAAGACAAAGGTAATTCCTGTGACGGCAGCGGATTCGGCGATTAGTCGACTGAGAGCTTGCCAATACTGCAACAAGTGAATTCAGTTTGAGAAGGATTCCTCTGCTAATTCAGTACAATAATGGGTCATCATTAAACGACCTTTTTATGTTAAGACAAATTGTTACCAGACTTTTCTGCGAGAATGGCAGCACTAGGTCGATTGTTCGGTGGGCTACCGTGAGTCATTGTAAAGGCCAGATGTGCATTCAATCACCTCCAGCGATGTCTAGTGAAGTCGAATACGCAGTGCATCCCTCAGCGATTGATCAACGCCGAGAGCTCTATCCTTTATTTATCATTTTATAAGTGGTTGTGTTATTTGCATTTTCAAAGTAAAACGTTCCGCTCAACTTGATTCCTTCATTGTTGTTATTGAATTTCTAGTCCTTCAACCTTATCTGAATTGAACCTCTTATCATGTGCGATTTAATAAATAAGAAGAGAATGAGACATCGAAGGGAAATGTTTTAGACCTGAAGGGATTACTTTTCCTGCATGCAAGACAAAATCTGAGGCGTTGCTTAGGTTCGTCGCAGATTGTCCTTCATGCTTAAAACCGCCTTTCAAAGAACCATGTCGGGAACATGCCACCGTGGACGATCACTTGTGAGTAATTTTGGTTAAAATACGCTTAATATAGTACTTAGCTGTTATTATCGGTTTTAGAACCGATTTCTCACGTCGCTTACTTACTTTTATACTTGGACGGCCGGCCTCACTGGTTGTGTGAGCCCCAGCATAATCTCCATTTTTCGGTGTTTTGCTGGCTTAGCCATTGTGATTCCCTGGAGTCCTGAGGTCAGCCTAGCCGAAGTCTGACCCATGTCGTAACCACCACAAGCAGTCATAGCTCTTGTGAATCAGAGGGAGATTTGCTACCATGGGACTAGTTTGGTCCAGAATGGTGGTGGATCTTGTTAGCTAGGCTTCCTGATGGAAAAACCGGACTCCTTGGCTTAAGAGGGTATTTCGGGTGATGAGTGCCTCCGCTGTACATCCCAGCCCGATACCTAGGAACACCCAGCCACAATGACATGGTAAATCGTTGGGAGGCCTATTCAGAGTAAGGTAGGAATTCTATACCGTAGGGAGTGTTATGTATACAGCGGATAAGGATCATGGGGTTTAATTCTATCTGTGTTGAAAGTGCTCCGATTTAGTTGATGTCGTACAGCTTCTTACTTAAAGGCGGCATTGGACTTGAGAGTAGAATTCAATATTATGTACGTAAAATTCATGTATTTGTCTCTTGAGCTCGTGAATAGGTTCGCCTTTGACATGCCGATCTGATATTTACTCAGATTGCTGTGTGCCAGCTTACGAGCGATCACGATATAGAGAGGAACGTGGATATCTGCAAGGATATGGTCGAAAGAGCAAGTTTTCGGAATTGTAAGGTATAACTACGTGTTCATCCAATGTACCCAGATCACTTATATTCCTTTTTTAGATGATTTTTTTCCCAGAGTGCTTCGATTTCGTGGGTCGGAGCAAAGAAGAGAACATAACTCTGGCATCTGAGGAGCAGGGGCCCGTAATGGAACGCTTCAGGTGGTTAACGCTTGACCTCGCTTGCGGTTTTCTTATAGTGAATCGTATAGAAGTTTCGCGCGGCAATATGGACTTTGGATATCTCTAGGAGGATTTCATAACAAGGTCGGTTTTCTTATTTGAACCTTTCTTATGGGTGCTGAGTACTTCTTTTCATCGTATTTATTTCGAGGATTCGTCGGAACCACAACTACCCTGGAATTCCCACATAGTAATTGATAATAATGGGAAGACAAGAGCTTTATATAACAAGTTGCATTTGTTTGATCTTGAAATTCCTGGAAAAGTGAGACTTATGGAGAGCGAATTTAGCAAAAAAGGTACAAAGGTTAGCGAACGTTTTATCAAATACTGTATTTATCGACCAAATATGACATGTAGGATCTGAACAAGTGTCGTGTGTAACGGGTTGCATGTAGCCCAGTCATTAGAGGTGGCATAGACATAGGATCAGTCGCTTGTTCGATCTTGCGCTCTGTGCTTACCAAGCTTTGCATCTCATCATGCACAGGAAATTGGTGCTAGACCTGGCTTGGAAGACAGAAAAGCAAACACTGGCTAGATCTTTCGATAGGCTACCTTGTCATTGTATAGGTCTATTGTGCATCCAATCACTTCTTATGGTGATTTTGTCGAATGCATGGTTCATCCTTTAGGGAATGATCAACGCCGAGCCCTTGAACTGTTTGCTAAGAATATCTTGTCATGAGCAAAGCCTGCTTTGTCGTCTTGAACTGATTTGACCATGGTTTGGTTTAAACCGGTCTTCATGCTGCCCCTGCGATGGTTCGTTTCCGGAGCTAAGTAGTGCCAGATTCTTTCCACTGTCACCACTATATCAGCTGAGATGCTGTAATCGTTTTGATAGACTAAAGTCAATATTATCATAAAACAGAGCAACGCATGCAGAGACACTGCGACGTTGACCTGCTAGAAGCCATGTATATTCTATTGAAAGGTTAAATCTAGGTCTTGCAGTGGAACTAAAAACGATCGAAAATCTTGAGCTTGACCTGGCTGTTCGGATTACCACATGCTAAAATCGCCATAACATCCTGTATTGAGGAAAGTCGCCTCAGAACAGTAGAAATGGAAAAGTGTTCGACCAAGTTTCATTGTCGAAACCTCGCGCGTTTTACGTCAATGTAATGGAGTAATTGTGAGGTCAATGGACCGAATTGTTCCTGGGTGCCGGACTGCGATGTACAACTGGTGGATTCATTTCCACAGAAAGGTACCCTAAGCTGGGAACGAGTCCAGCGTTTTCATCAGGAAGCCCAGCTAAGAGTAAACTAATACCAGGTTCCACCAACGTCCTGGTATCAAACCATATAGTGGTGGGGTGCCATATCTCCCTCCGATGCGCAAAGGCGGCGACTCCATGTGGTGGTGATGTACTTCTGGAGCAGACTTGCTAGGCTGACCTCGGGACTGCAGGCAACCACAGTAGCTAAACCAGCAGAACTCCGAAAAAGGTATCCGAGTAGATACTACTCTGCTGCGCGATGGAGCCAAATGGAGACTTTAGTGGCGGCCACTCAAATTTCTTGTTGACTAACAAGATGGCGGATGAAAGCGATATCACCTCTCAATAGTTTATATCGGTCACTCACATACCGGTCGCCCCGAACAGGTCACTCAAGCGTTCGATATTTGCGGAAACGTAGCTAGGTATGTCTATGTCACAGCAGAGCTCGGTGGACTACACCTGGCTACATGTTTAGCAGAGAAGTGAGAATTATTACTCTCATGTGCCTTATATTCCTCGACAGAGCGGAGACCACTGGGTACAACTGGCGGACGTAAACATCAATGGTGTTTCATCGAGTTATTGGATGAATTACAAATTATAGGTGAAGAGCAGCAGTTAAAATAAAATTTGCAGAAATGTGCTCTTGCATGGTCAAATTGCAGTCTTTACTACAAGTTCAGGATTATCACTTCTAGGTTGTTCTTCCTGTAGAAACACCAGTTGGACGCCTCGGACTATCTATTTGCTACGATCTTCGATTTGCGGAGCTTGCATTATGGAATAGACAGAGAGGTGCTGACATACTCTCTTATCCTTCGGCGTTCACTTTGAATACAGGACTAGCGCACTGGGAGGTCAGCTTTTGCAATTGGTAGAGATTATTCAACTTTTATTGTCATGAATGCAAATATATCAAGCGCTAATTTTCTTTTTTAAACCATGTGAGTAAAATCTGGCATTCAACTGGGTACGCCGTGAGATAAGATTTTTATGCCAGTTCTTAATCATTTTCCACCTCTCGTTTTGTATGGCATAGAATTGATGGAACTGTCTCAAAGGCTGGTTGCATGTTGCCTTTGAAATCCAAGTTTTTCTGGAATCCTTCCTAGTGCGTCAAATTTATGTTGCTCAAGGTCATTTATCAACATGCAGTCATTTTTATGAAAGGGTGTCATCTATACCTACGATCCTTGTTTCATATACGCAAACACTTCTAGCCTTTACTTCGTACTCGAGCGATTGAATCACAGTGCTATGTAGTGGCTGCTGCTCAAACTGGAAAGCATAATGAGAAACGCTTATCTTATGGTCATTCAATGGTTGTTGATCCATGGGGAGCTGTGATCGCTCAATGTTCGGAAAGAGTCGGTAAGAGTGTTCATGCGAGATTGAAGCTAACTTTTACATTTGTATGGAGTTTTTCGTTAATGGGCTACTAGAATTAATCCATGCTTGAAGCTTTGTTTCCTTGCTGTGTTAAATGCGGACTTTTGTTCCAGATATGTGCTTCGCTGATGTCGATCTCTCTTATGTCGATGAGTTACGCTCCATGCAACCAGTTTTTGCTCATCGACGAGCTGATCTTTACACGTTGCACGTGAACGAGTTCGATGCCGGTTACTCATTATTTTCATATTTCGTTATCATAATTTTCATTCGCAATTTAGTTCAACGTTCTGGGAGATATTTTCAAAAAGAGTAAGATATCGATTTCTCCAGTTTGAAGTAGTTGAAACAATAAAGCAAAAATGTTTAAAGAACTGATTAACAATAATTTTTCAATTCAAAAAAATTTTGCAGTGGAACAGGAATGCTTTCAAAGGGCGATTAGCAAACATTTTCCTTTTCACAAACAAACACTGACCTTCAGTTGATGTAGTGCAAATTCCGTTGATGTTGTTTTGGTTCTCCACGGGAATCTTGTGTGAAGTAATTTGAACTATATTACATTACATGACAGAAATGGTGCGAAAAGGTGCACATAATCAGTACAAGAGACATGATGAGATAAAAGGTGGGGAACACTTCTCGGGAAACGCTCTGAATGTCTAGATGGAACTGACGGTTGTCTTACCGCAGTGGTCGGAGGTACCATGCAATACACATAGGGTCCATTCCTGTCTCCCATGCTCACGAAGCTTTACATCCCTCCGGGGTCGGATTGGTACCGGACTTGTCTGGAAGTGTAGCAGCGCACTGTCTTGATACATCGGTAGCCCACCGCGAGTCATTGTAAAGGCTGTGTATGAATCCATTCACCTCCAACGATGCTGAATAAAGTCGAATGCGTGGCACGTACCTCAGGGATTTATCAACACCAAAAGGCTTATCCTTTTTTTAAATTGATGATTGTCTTAGTGCCTCTGTTTAACACCTTGTTGCAAATTTCTTTCCGGGAAAAATAAACAGTTTATAGAGAAATCTATACTTGGTAAAAGTTAATAGCTTCTATTCTTCTTTTCTTGACCTTGTTTACTTGTTTCATTTCAAATTCTTCGGCAATTTCAGAAGAAACACCGTTGAAATTCGGCGAATTTCCGATTTCTAACGACACAATCTTCTACAGATCTGCGCACTCATTCGCTTTCGTAAATCTTAAACCTGTTTTAAATGGACGTGGGTTTTATTGAAGCATAGTAATTACCAGTTCAGTTATTAAGTTATGGGTCAGTTTCTTGGTCATCCACGATTTTTCGCAGATGTGTTGGTTTCCCCTAAGCGTGTATGTTACCGTCTAACTGATCTTTCGGACGCTGAGACTGCCGACTTGTTTATTGTCTCGAAGAAGGTGCAAAAAATGCTAGAAAAGGTGAGCTTTGCATCTCACAAAAGACTTGCTAACCCTATCTAATGGTCTTCTTGCTACTATACTTGGTTTTATGGAAAACAGGAAGCTGTTTATTTAAAAATTCATGTCTTCATGATGGCACAAAGGGCTGCAAAAGTGTCATTCACACGTTAACGAAAATGCGCATTGCTTTCAATGCGTATATGCCTTGAGAAAAGATGTCTTAAACCATGGTGGGCGTAATTCATTGTTACATAATTGTTGGCTCTTTAGGACTTGTAGATTTTTAAGAATTGAAAGGATTATTTACTGTACCACATCGAAATCCCAATTTTCTGTTTTTAGAGTTTTGAGTGTATTTTTTGCAACAGTTTTTCGGAAGTCTGTTAAAAAGGTTTCATACTGAAAAAGTATTTTTGAGAAATCTGTACATACCCTTGGACTGTTAAGGCACCGTTCTTTCTATGAGTTTATTAAGTCTTTAACACATAAGCACTCGAATTATCGAGAAGTTTCCATGAGCTAGAAAAAACTGAAAAAGCCACCTTCGTTGCGAATTTGTAAAACTAATATGGTGAAGTAATTACAAGGTTACACTGGTCTATTATCATGCTGACTGGGACGACTTCTTGGTTGTGGTTTTCTTCTTCAATCAGTGGTGTTAGTAGTTCTTCTCTTTCAGGCTACAGGCGTCTAGTAATCAATGTACTTCTTTACATTGTCCAGCTTATACGAGGTTGCCATTGCACTTTACTCAGCTAACGTATCAACGTCTTCGTATTCTTCAGAGCCGCAGTGATTCGAGTCGATTGTCCACAGCCATTCGTCGTTCATGATGTGGGTCTTTGTTCACATCCAGTTGAATCCAATGGAGTGGGGTACCAGCTGAATGAAGTAACCGTACTCGATGTTACAGCGAAGACCCACATCGCTGAGACGAACGACTGTTGACAGTTTACTCGAAACATCGCGGCTCTGAAAAAGACAAAGACGTCGAAATGTTAGCCAATGAAAAGTTTGTACCAACCATTCACGTGGGGGTTAAGTGATGATCAGATTAATAAGGTAAAGGCGTTGATTTACAACGAAAGAAATTAGGTAATCGAACGACTTGTGGGTTCATTATAAGTAGCTGTTTAGGAATAGTGAGAACATGGTATCATTCATTTGAGCGTTTTATTGTATTTTTCCATTTTCATTTGTTGATAGCATAGAATCTTCAGTTTCACAACGTTACCTCATCAACGGTGTGCGTGCAAGATGGACCGGACGCGGGACAAACAGTCAAAGTTTGTGGACCTTTTACTTTTGTGTGGACTTTGTTAAGTTCGATAAAGGTATCTTAACAAAAAATGTCCAAAGTATTGAACAAATCCCATCTCACGGTGGTTTTGGAGTTTTCATTCCTGAATTTTACGGCTCTTTCTCTTTACTACCAGAGAAAAATCTTGTGCAATGTGTAGAGAGGGAGTGTCATTCCATCTCATTCAGTCCACCGGTGTGCTCCCTGATCGCTTAGCCCTTTTTCCCATACTTTTAAATACACTATGTTTTTGCATCACTACTCGGCTAGGGATCTCTCGATGAGAGAGATAAGTGGTTTTAGGTAGAGGGATTAGTTATGTTAATTAATTGTAGATGAAACCCACTAATCTGAAATCACATCTTCACTTAGGCATAAAGACATGCTAAGAATAGTTTCTGAATATCGGTTATAGTTTATAGTTAGAACAAAGTGCAATGAAGTAACAGGAAGAATTCTTCGATTCAGCACTAAATGTTTAACAGGTCTATCCCTTACGGGTTTTATTGGTATATTTCTAAGTAAATTGTTTAAAATAAACATTTCCAAACCACTGACATTGCGCTGCCGTCATTTTCGACTTTCCATGATAGCTTTGCTAAAGTGCTTCTTCTAGTTAAGACTTTCGCTACTTACCACCTAGCGTTATAAAGTGGGAGTTTCGGTAACTTACATGCAGCATACTCACTTGAATACTTGGTATGGCCCGTTTTCACTGGTTGTGCGGGTCCTAGCGTAATTTCCATTTCTTGTGGTCTTCTGGAGTGCCGAGGTCAGCCTAGCCAATGTCTGTCCCAGGTCGTCACAGGCAGCCGCAGTTCTAGTGGATCAGAGGGAGATTTGCCACCTTGCGACTAGTTTGGTACCAGGACGGTTGTCGATCCTGGTACTGGTTTACTGTTAACTGAGCTACCTTGTGGAAAGCCGGACTCCTCAGCTCGGATGAACCGTGGGGATGAATCCCCCGGCTGTATATCGTAGTCCGACACCCAGAAACACCTTCCAGCCACGATGAGGCGGTAAACCGTTGGAGGCAGCACCACACAGTGTACAACGTACATCATTTCATTTTAAGGAATGAGGAGGTGAGAGAAATTCCATGAAGATGTAAGAAAGATATGTCCGAAAATTCAAATTCGCTTCATATTTATACACATATGAAGGATAAACTAGTATACAAATCTTCGAAAAAACAGCTTGGCGTAAAATTGTACAACTCTTTGCACTGGTTACCCTTTTATTAACAGTAGGTTTTCTTTTTCAGATATCTTCATTGTAATAGTAATCGCGGAATTTTCCATATTAGTCGGACACTTTGAATGTAGTAAACAGATGTTGAGTTGGATTTAAGGAAAATTTATCTTGGAATAGGTAGTAAGATTCTCCAGGTTACATATGAAAAGGGCAGTTCTTTTCACTGCTTTTAAAATTTCACTTGAGTTTTAGTTTATTTCAGCACGTTCATGTCCATGTGCTTGCTCGTCGTCACGGAGATTTTGGATGTTCACCCGACAATCTCTATCAGAATTTAGCTGCACATGACAGGTCGTCTTTCTGTGCATAAAAACTTACGTTGTTATAGTATTCATCATGTTAGATAACTGCGTGTGTGGCGTAGTGGTAGGAGGCGCTCTGCATACACATGGGATCGATTTCTACCTAGCCTTCCATCCCTCCAGGGTCGGCGAATTGGTACCAGACTTTTCTGGGAGGATAGCAGCACTGGCTCCATACATCGGTAGACCACCGCGAGTTATTGTAAAGGCCAGATATGCATTCAATCATCTCAAACGATGCTTAATGAAGTCGGACGCATGGGGCATCCATCCCTAAGCGATCGATCAACGCTAAGAGCTTTATGTTTTCATTTTATCATGTTAGACATACTAACTACCTCTTCATTCAATGTATTTTATTTTAGCATCCCTTCCTTATAAAGTTTCCCCATATCATGTAATATTGGTAGGAATATATGTTTTACACTGTAGGGAGTAGGATTAGTGTTAACTTACTCATAAAATCGATTTGAAACACTTTTACTGCTTTATTTGTTTGTTTTTCCATCTGGATCGGACATGGGCTCTGAAAGATAGACCATTAGATTTGTGCCATTTAGGGATCCCGACCTTCGTTTTCGTACCCAAGAAGAAATGGCTGCTGAAGCGGCGCTATACCGAGAAGCTATAGCTCATATCTGATACCTGAATGTGCTGGAGAATTCAGTAGTTAGAGTCGATACCAATTATCGATAGGGTACTAATATAAACTTTTAATTACACTTAACTAGATTTTATTCTTTTCCCATCGTGTGCATGTGTCCGTTAGCCTTGTTCAATCTTCAGTATTTTTTCGTTCTACCAAACATTCAGCAAACTAAAAAGTTTTCGGTTTTCTGTTGATGGTTGTGCATTGGTTCTAAGATTATACATGTCAGCCACATTAAGAAAGCCGTAGTGCAAGTAGGACCACTTGGAAACGACAGTAGTTCCAAAGACACGGTTTCATTAAACTTGATGTTGGTCAATAAGTTGGTTTTCTTGATGAGATAATTTCATGAGTTAGCCTACGGATTCTTTTAACAGTTATGTAAAAGGGATATCTTCCTATTATTCAAATTTATATTCTATTCTTATATTCACTTTTTTTTTCTCTGAAATGTCGCTTCCTTTCTATCTTCCTCGAAAGTGAGGTTTTCCTAAAAATTCGGGTCCGAATTTTTAGTGTTTTTATCTTTTTTTTAAATTTATTTTTATTAATTTTTAGAAGTACAGCAGTCGCCATCACCCATGGTATAGTAGATTCTTTGGGTATTAATGTGGGATTTCAACCCGTATTCTTTAAAGAAGAATATCTTCGCTCAAAATAAACTTTATTAGTCGAAATTAAAACCATTTGGAACCACAGATTTTCGTATATGGGAAGCAAGCCTATTTGTTTCGTTTGCTGGTTGTTAAAGCGGAGTTTTGTAGCTTAGCTCGTCCAAATTTTAGATCGTTAGTTGCTCGAAATGTGGCAGAATGTCAGTTGTGTATGTTGACAGTTCGTACAGCATGCATTTGTCGAGCGCTTTCAAATATTGAGATGGTCTGAAACAGGCGAAGTGCTTACATCAAGTTTTCTGCAAGTTGTCAAACAGTTATGGCTGTTTTTACTCCCACTAAAATCTCCATTTCATCGTCATCAGTGGGAGATTGACGTCCACGTTCTTTCTGACCTTCAAGGTCGGATTTTTTTGACGAAATTTTCCACACTAACATTTCAATGCGCGTTTTTAAACACTTCTTTGGCCTCATATCTGATCAATATTTGGGGCCATTCGAGATGGGTACGACCGGGTCTGAATTCATAGAAGTAGATTTGTCGAAATTTCTATTTTGACACCTTGGATGGCTCGTCGTTACTGGTTGTGCGGGCCTCAGCATAATCTCCGTTTTTTCGGAGTTTAGCTGGTTTAGTTATTGTGGTCCCCAGGATTCCCGAGGTCAGCCAGGCCAAAGTCTGCCTCCTGTCACCACTACAGGCAGTCGTCGTCCTTTGTGCGTCAGAGAGATTTGTCACCATGCGACTAGTTTGGTACCAGTACGGTGACGGATCCTGGAATTGGTTTAGTCTTAGGTGGGTTTTCTGGTGGGAACGCCGGACTCCTCAGCTTGAGAGGCTGCCAGGGGAATGAATCCCGTCGCTGTACATCGCAGACCGACACCCAGGGAATACCTCCCAGCCACGATGAGGCGGTAAACCATTGGGAGGTGTTTTGACATCTCAATTTCTAACCTGTAGAATTTGTTAAAAATACTTTTTGTATTACAACTGCACGGTGCATTGCGAAAGCATGTAATAAGGTTTTATTCATGTAAATTTTAGTGAATACAAGGAGAAGAATGAATAATTTTGAAAGAGATTATTGGT